TGAATCCTCGGGCATGTCCCGGGAACATTCGAGCGAGAGGTCACGAAGCGGAACAGCGTATATTCTGCAGCGTATGTATGCAGCAGTTCATTTTCATTTTTTTCGGGCTGGCGTAGCACCTCCCTATTCAGATAGACACATGATTCGTAGGAAGCTCTTTTCGTTTCTTTTCCTATCTCCTCACTCGATACTGATTCGAATTGAAAGGGCCATTGCCCCTGTTGGCCTCGGTGCCCATCTGATTGGAGGGCACACAGATCTGGGCGAGAACACATGAATAGCTCGGAGACGACTCTCCGACAGCATTGTTAGACTGTCGAGTTAAACTAGTCTGGGATGAATTCATTTAGCGAGGCTTGCATCTGCCGCCGATCTCGTCAAAGTTTTTTGAGAGCCCCGATGATGGCGCCTCTCAACTTATCTCGCCGGAATATCTCCACCAAGCCGAGAAAAATTTTGAATTCAAAGCAGCTCGAACCTCCTGACAGCGCACAGCAGATGTGTCGCACCAGCCGGGAGATTGCGCGCCTAGATTTGTCCTGGGTGAGGGAGGAAGATTTTTCTCCCAATTTTCCACTCCTCTTGTGTGTCCCATGGCGCAGGGAATCCGGACCGAATTCCAGAGTCAGCCGAAATCTCAAGGAGACCAGAAGACTACCGAGTGCTGAGCGCTCCTGTCTATCCTCGATGATTTCCAAGCCTTTCAACAGAATAGGAAGGAGGAGATGGCATAAAACAGCCCAACGCTAAAGTAGGAAAAAGCATTGATCAATTCGATGTCCTTCCGCCCGTTCTCGGGCAGCGACGAGAACATCCGGTTCTATGCGACTCCCTTGTTTTCCATGGGCCTTCACAATCGAAACCGGGGGCAAACTCAGATTAGGAAGAGCATTGGCCGCACACACCCGCCGTATGCTCGCAGACACCCACTCATTGCTCAGCTCCCCACAATAAATAATACCAGCCTCATGATGATAAGCGAGGCTCCCCAGTGTTCTTCCTCCTGGTTTGCGAAACCTGTGGGAGATTAGAAGAGCGATTTGGGTGCGGAACAGTTGCTGCTCCATCAAAAGCCAATATTCGGTAGCACAATCGCCGGACGATCGGAGAGGATCCGAACCCCGCGCTCTCCGGGACAGAACATATCGACCACACTGAGTACGCAAATCCGGGTTTCATCCTGTCCCACGACGACAGGCGAATAGCAAGACCGGCATGCTAACACTACAAGTAGTGACTCTGTGGCAGAAGCGGCAGAAGTCGCGTGAGACCGTACATTATGAGCTCAGACGCAAACAGATATCGATCTCGTAAAGTATGATTAAGCCGAAAGCGAATGCGTTCGACGGAACGATGAGGGGCCACCGTAAGAAACTCCCTCGCACGAAGCGCGGACGCTGGCATAAAGCAATTCGCTGATGCTGAATGGCCTGTCACAAGGCTATGTGTAGCCTCATGAATACGGTGGCGGCCGGAGCAGCGGAAAAACGGGGAACAGGCCCGGAGACAGCGTACGAGGCTGTCCTCGAACACTAGCGAGGCGAGCACGGAGAACCTACGGTGAGGAAAATCCATATGGCGTAAATACTCGGTGTAGGTAAGACGTAGGCCTCGTCACTGCAATTTTGTCCGTCCGCTGGCTACGTATTCCGGCTAATTAGATGTACGCCGGAGGGAAGGATTTACGAGACAGCGGAACGACTATCAGGAGAAGCTGTATATGGCATTGATTCTGGGAAAGTGAAGCCCTAGCGAGGTAGTTCACAACGTTACATTAGACCGCCGCCACCGTAGCCCTTCATCTCTCGCCATTCGTCCTGCTAAATGAGGTAAGAGTCTCTCCTCCGGTCTTGGTATCCAGACCACGTTGTTCATTTGTTCCAGTGTCGGTGAGCGCAGGCGGCGGGTCGACGGCGGCGATACAGCGTAACGGAGGGGATTCAGGAGAACCGGCATGAGGAGGCGGAAAGGGACGGACGACAACCGACCGAAGACTGACGACGACTTGAGCTCCTGTTATTGAGGAGCGAAAATTGAAATTCTTTGCCGCTGTGATCAGCCAGCTTCATTCATTACAGGAACGCCAAGGCCTGCGTGAGATATTTATTTTCGCCCGCTCACTCGTTCGTTTATTTTTTCCTTCTCCCTGATGACGCTCCCCCGGTATCAGATCCTGACGGCGGCGTCGAGGAGGATGCATTTCTTATTTTTCTTCATGTACCTACTCGTCGAGGCATTCTCGTTTCGCGATGGAACTCTCTCCGAGCAAAATCAAGAGGGGGAGCGACCTACATGTCACGTGAGCTAACCCGATACCTTGCTCGATCCGTGCGTCCTTTCCGGTCATCTCACAATGAAAATAGAATCTACAGAAGTTCTTCAAACTCTCGCCGGAGCCGTGACTTTTCAGAGTATATGGAGAGACTCACAGCGGTGCAAGCTTCATGGGATTCGGAGAGTTCTCCTCCCCGAACCGCGATCACGCTCGCGCTCTCTTCCTCGATTGACCGTATTTCTTCTTGGCCTCAGATTTCTAACGGATATGACGATGATTTTCGTGCATTGTCCGGTGACTTCCATCGTATCTTTCGCGCCCGCAAGCTCTACGTGAGTGGAGACGCTAGCACCGACGCCGCGGTCAGTTTTGGCCGCGTCTCGGATATAATCTCCAGTGATCGCGACATCGTTGGATTCCCATAAATATTTTAGTCGGCGCGGCGACACAGCTCTCCCCATGGAACCCCCGCTAGAGCAGTCACCTCCGGGCGGCTTTGAGGGTGGGGCCACACGTTCTTCGAAATTCGATTTTCCAGTTATTACTTTCGAAGAGCTATGGGATTTTTTCGGGACGATCGCGTGAGAAGACGATCTCGAATTGCCTCGCTGAGAGTGGTTGCCACTCGAATCGAACGGAAATTCTAGTTGAGCTATTGCGGCCCTCATGGACAACCCTCCGTTCTGAACGAAGCGTCGAAATCACATCTTGATACGTCGGTCGTCGTGTTGGCTGCATCCGCGGCAGCCACGACCGGTGGCGCTCGCCCAGTGTGAAAGTGATCTCTGTGAAGAATTGTCTGCGCAGCGGGAATCCTCAAACAAAACCCACACTTTAGACGACTATGACGAAAGGGAGTATAAGGGACTGTTTTGACTTGCTTCGAATCGACCGCGGCACCAGTCGACTCTGCTGCGACAGTTGCCGATTGTTGCTTTGTGTCCTCGAGCAACCGGAATCGAAGCAGTCTGTCAGTATACGAATTCCACTCGGATGCTTTCATTGCAAAAAACCGGCCACTAGCTCTCATCCGCTTCTCCTTTCGAGCCGTCCGCCGACTGGACACTCGAATAGACAAGGCGGAGGCCCCCGGATTTTCATACTGAAACAAAGAAAGAAAAACAGGAGAGCAAGCTAGAAGAAGAACGTCGAGGAGGATCGGAGCCAACGGCATGGAATGGGAATGTCCGAGCAATCCGAAATTCAGGAAACGTCCCGCTATCAGTCGTATGCTGTCTGGACGCAGGACATCTTTACGGCTCTCGAGACGACTGGAATGGTCGTCGCGTCGCTCCGTCTAAATGTAAAACCCCCCGAGATTTATTCGGTGAGGAGCAGGAGAATCTGTCCTTCTTGAAACTGCAGTCCTCAGTTGCGGTCTACTTATCCCTATTGTGAACAGTCTCACGAAGAGAGATCCTCTCTGTACAATGATGATTCGGGCCGCTTGCTTTATCCCCAAAGAACTTTTCCAGCGAATCGAGTTCTCATGCTCAACGGCCACATTCTGATTGTGAGACGAGAAATCAAACGGCTTGCTCCGCTCAATCATATCAACTATTACTGCTCCCGTTGAAGGATCCCACAGCATACATATACTGTCGCTCAAGTTACGCGGATGATTGACTGACTGGCTGACTGACTGAGTGTTTGAGCGTTAATGTAAGTCGAGGGTAAATATCTGACCCCGGGAGAGATCGTCTGCCTATGGTAATGTATCGATAAAGACATTGGGGCCCCCCGAGCCAAGTTCCTGTAGCCGTCGAAGCTGCTGAGGTAATTTGAAGAGGTGTGAAACAAGGCTTCACTTTGGTCGCTTGATTTCTCGCTCGCGTTCGCCGTTTCGCTCGCTCATTCCCTCCCTCTCTGGCACTCGCTTCCTTGCCGGATAACTATTCGTCGTGTCTTCGGTCAGTAGCACGAGACAAAACCTTGTCGGCTCATCGGGAGCGCATCCATTTAGGTTCGAAGCGATGCAGCGCGTACGAGAACGTCGACGGGAGACTCGGGTCGATCGGGGAATCTCGCTTAGAATTTCCTCGAGTGACATCGCGTTGGCTCGACCCATTACGCTCATATCGCTGTATCTCCATCTCATTCACAATTAGCGAATTGAAATCAAGGACAATTATAACCCATCACTGAGGGCATCCCTTGATGAATGGGGATAGCGGAACGCGTTCGTTCGTGAGTCAGCTACCGTATGAGAAGAAAAGCGAGACAATCAGTAACAAGGGTGAAGATGGAACGATTTTCTCCCTTGAGATCACTTGACGAGAAACGCTTGGAAACGTACAAGATCTTTTCCGTAAGCGCTTGTCCTTGCGAGCGTGGCGTGCTTCGGCGAGTTGAAAAGATAAAGTATGCGCAGATTGAATCGTAGATCTCATCGAGTGACCTGTTTCATGAGCGGCCGGAAATTCAAGGGGAAACCTCAGCTACTTCGTGGCTCTTTGGAGGGATTCCTCAAATTGGTCCATAAAATCTACCCATCGGACGATCCAAATTCGTTCCGAATCGAGTCAAACGTCGCGAGGCGTCCCGACTTCAGAAACATACCCAGGTTCCCGCCCGGGCAATATCCACGAGTCGATCTTGGAGCTTGCAAAATTAGAGACTCCACGCCGATCAGAGCAAATGAAATGAATTTCCTAATTTGTCTTCGGCGAATCGCTCGAAGTTCACGCAACGCTCTCACGTACGTGCCACCACCGCGAACACCCACCTTTGTCTCCTTTGGGACCAGGGGGTCCCGGCTCTCCTCGCGGCCCATCTATTCCGATGGCACCTGGGAATCCTGGTCTGCCAGGCTCCCCTGGGGGGCCGGGAGGTCCGAGTTCACCCCTATCCCCCTTGCCTCCACGCTTGCCACGTCGTCCTGGAGGACACGCACAGCCCGTGGTCGGAGTATCTCGCTGGCGTCGGGAAAGGGTCACAGCTAAGGAATCGAGCTTATTCTGTTCAACGGAAAACGATCCGATGGCCGCGCGCAGAGTCTCGAGTTCGCGGTGCTGGAAGAACAGCTGGGCGGCACAGGCTCCGATCAGACACGTATTCAGAGTAATTGCAAACCACAGAAACCGGCGAGATCTTGGACCCGGTTTTGTCAATGCCGTATAGGCTGCCTGTTTGGCAGCGACAGTCATTTCGATGGAGAACTCGACACAATGCGTGGACCTTGGTAGGTACTAGCACGAAATTCCACACTCGACGATTTTGCCTCTCTACATCGTCGCCTTTGCGCACGCGTTGGCACTGTCACAAGAAACTTTATCTAAGCTCCCGCCTCACCGAGAGTTCAAACGCAACTAATATCCGAGGAGTCTCCACCTGGAGAGGGGGTATCGGCGGGAAAGGGTCGCGGGGAAGAGGCTCATCCAAAGGCACGAGCGACGGCTGCTACAATTCGTATCCATCAATCCATCAACCAAGGTTCCGAATCGCTCCGATTGAATACCGTATGAAATATATCGGCGATCGGGTCCGAGCTTGTTTGCATCATTCCTCCTCAGGATTATCCGTCCTGCTGGGGGGAAATCGTGCGAGTTTTCAAATTGAGACTATCTGGGTCGGATTTTAGCGTCGGAACCACCGGGTAGAGTCTTCATGTGCGAGGATTGGCTTATCTTTCTGACGACAGAGTATACTATCCGCTCAAATAAATATTTCTGACCGTAAAGCTGAGCGGGAGCTTCAACCGAGCGTCAGTTTTCGGAATTAGGCGGCCACGTTCCCGGATCTCGTTCACGTTGTGCAGGGGAAGCGCCCGGACTGAGCTCCGCAGTAGAGACAGAGACCCGCTCGCTCGAAGGGCGCGAAGCTCCGCGATTTTCTCATGTGGTTTCAGAATTGTTCCTCGCGTAGTTCCGGTTGCCCTGAAGCATGTTTACCCCCTTCTCCTCGATAAACTCCAAAAGAACGTCTCAGGACGCTCTGAAAATCCTTGTGAGGAGTTCACCGAAAGAAATCGATGCAGGCTCTTGTTCTTCGGGTCAAGGAATATTCAGGAGCGAGAGCATACACAGCGATCCTCCAAGTGGCTGCATCTTCAGCACGACAGATAGGAGCAATACAATATTCCCCAATGCGGCGCGGAAACCCGGTAAGTTGAGAAGCAAGTATTCAGAACGATATCCGGACCGTTGGCTGCCCTTCGAGCGATATACTGTTTCGACATGAAGGCAGACCTGACCCTTGCGTCGATACTGAAATCTTCTCCCCGATTAAGGTAGCAGGCTGGGTCTGAAGCGAGTCGTGACGAAAACGATGAATGAGGGTCCCCCGAACAAGAAGGAACGAGAAGCTACCCCCCTGCCGAAAGGGACTCGATGCTTCAGCGTGCTGTTCGCTAAACCCCAGACAAAGAAGAATAAGACCTGGGAGAACGACGGCTATCTAATCGTGAAGAATAGTTCCCTGACGCTCAAAAGTACTCAGGTGTGTTAACTGAGGAGATATATCATGATACGATCGCAAAGTTCAGGAGCTCGAATACGTGAACCGATCCTCTAATTATCTAATTTCCCCATAGGGCGATATCGTCTCCTGTGGACGGCTCATCAGCCAAGTTCTTGAGGAAGGCAATCAGTTCGGAGTCGGGGATAAGGTCGTCCAGATTCAGGACGAGCTCCTCGAGCTGCCGCTCACAATTCAAGGCTGAGCAGGAGCTACCAGGCTTGGCTCGGCTCAGCCTGTCCTACGACGCTTCCTCTGGAGCACCTAGTCATTTGTACATGCATACGGACCCTCTCACCATATCTTATTAAAAGGGAGTAAAAATCTGTACCCCATGTCCCAATCAGTCCATACGGGGAGGGAGAAAGGTCATCCGCGCCAAAATCGACGAATGTCCAGGATCTGTCTTGAAGAGGCACCATGCTCTCGCATGTCACCATATTCCAATATTATCTCCGCGATCTCCACTCTGTAAAACGCGACAATGAAGCCTAAAATGTTTCGTGAGTTGCACCAATTTGACACTGTTGTAAAATTGTACAAAATGCCGACACTCTTAGTTTCGTCCAAAAATCCTACGGTTCTCCTTAGACGCCTCGTAGAGGCCGGATCACGGGACATCAATCCGAAGTGAAAAAGCTGCAATTAGTTTCTTGGAAGTGAGACCTTCGACACGGGATCTCATGGAGACGGGATCCGCGATGAGTCTCTCATACGCCGACGTCTCTTATATGGAGTTTCTAATGACTCAGGAGTGCGTGCGGACACGGGGAGCGGCGATGGGAATCAGTATTTCACTCGCGTATTCTCTCATCGGAGGGCTCGACTATAGCCGGCTCAGTGTCCCTGCTTTTGCATTTTCCGATTCTTTGATTGACATGCGGTCTCGACGCCTCATTGTTCGGGAACCATGCGTGGGGAGGCAATGCGGCCGGTAGGATTACTAACCGATGCGAATAGTGTGACGGCCAATTCATATCCGAGGCGCAATAATTGAAAGTCTTGATAATTTATTGAGTAATATTCGAATTCGTGGACCTTGCTGCGCACCAAGCGGCTGCTCTGACATTCCGGACATGAATTCTATTATGGGGCTTCTCATCGAATGAGCTCTCAACCTAGGGACAGTGCTAGCGCGGCGGCTCCGACTGCCAGCGAAGGCAAAATTGACGAATCTCATCAGCTCGGACGGCTTCAACGAACTCCGTAGCCTTCCCGAGTGGTTCTGGCACCATTGACCGTGTCGTTATCCAGTTCTCGTTCCATAACCCCGGGCCGAAGGCTAGTAATTCGATTGTGCCGCTGGCGTCGCCTGGGCAACGTCGGAAAATCCGATTCTTCGAGTAATCTTCATCCTACGAGAGCTCCCCTGATCGATTCGAGACTTTACGACGGTTGCGAAATTTTTCGATTCCAATTTGTGCTCCATTTACGAGTTGAAGTTTCCGAATCGGTACATTTCTCTTCGATCGAGGCGCGCCAGGAACTCTCTCCTTCTGACAGTTCGCCGAATCGTTCCGCCGTGTGCGACCCGCCCAGCTCTTAGTGCCATCTGATTCACGAATTCTCGTCCGTTCGTTCGACGACATAGTTTCATTAGTAAGCAATCGGCTAAGAGAGAGGATCGTTCCCGACCAAGCGAACAACCGAAACTTCCTCGAGAGTTCTTGTCATCAGCGTGGACCGGAGGAATGGGTGATATCACGACATCTGAGGTTAGTTCGACAGCACCCAACGTTCAACTCGAGACAGCTCACCAGACATGTTCACACGGATTTGCTTCAGCATTCGATTCGTTCCAATCACGTCTGAGTATCCTGCTCGAGATTGTCGCCCTTGGTTCCTCTGCGTCGAGAGACGTATCAGCAGACAGAGGGAAGGTCCCTCTGTCTAGGGATCGGGGCCCGTGGGGGCCTAGCTGGGGTTCCATTTCTATACGTCAAGTTCTGAAACTTGGAGTCAATATGCTCCCAAGTTGCGGAAACATCCTGATTCCGATACATATCATGCGGGATGGTGATCGGGCTCCGGGCCCAAGGAGGTTCCGGTACTCGGGGGCACGGAGACTAAACTCCTTCTTTGTTCCAGTTCGTTGTGGACGAAGTCAGTACCGTCATTCGAGAGGTGAGTCCGACTGATTCTCATGATTTTCGAATAGCTCCTAGTGTTCGCACGGGAACGTCTGCCTCGGGAACCCGACCGACAAGAAATACTCGGAGCAGCGTCTCATGGGCAATGTTTTGTTCCTGTCGAAAGAGGCTGCCGCTGACCGTGGTCCCTCGGAAAAACACACATACGCCCCGAGATTAAAATGTCTCCATGGCCTTTTGCATTCAATCCATGATGAGTCGTCCATCCGATGTTCAGGTGCCTACGGATTGGTATAGATTTCATCGGTGAATCCTTTCGGCTATTTCTCCACTCATCAATGTCCCCCTCATTCGGGAGATGCGGCGGTGACCTATCAATTACAAGAGGCGAACCTCTGGGGCATGACTGTTCAGCCGAATGTCTAATGTCGAAGTCCGAGGGAATTGGATACTATTGGACCCCTATCGTCCCAGCAACCGAGTGCAGAAAACGTTCTGGCGAATGCGAAACGAGCCGAGCCCACCAGCGGGGCTCGGAGATTCCGCCTTTCGCCCCGCAAACAGATTGCTGAGTGACTCGCGTCAAAGCGTGGTCACCGGTGTGGCTCCTTTCTTTTTTTGTGATGACAAGCAGTATAGAGCTCGATTGCTTCCAACATTCCTCGCTTGACCTTGATTCGGATCAGAGCGTGGGACTTCACAACTGTACCGATTTTCTATGAATACAGAGTCATCATGAACGGTTATAATCTTCGTCCAGCGACAACGCTCGGCAGCCTATCCTAGGGAGTCACCCGAGCTTCACTCGGAATCAGACTCCGTCGACCTTTAGGCTCGCTCTCACCGGAAGAAAGCGAAAAAGGGCCTCTGAGTACTCGGGGGTACCTACACGATAGAGCTCACTGAGTGAGCCCGTCCACATCTGGCAACCGACTATTGGCCGCCTACGTCCGCCCCTGCATTAGGGCTTATTAGCCTAGATGTGAAGCAAGTGACGGTCGGAGGGCAGGAGTGAATCCTTTTTCTGGGTCACGGCCTGGTCACTCTCGCAGTAGATGTATCCTCGGACTCTTCCGCGCGGGAATCCTGAGCCTGTCGCGTTGTGTCAGAGCTCGTCATCATGGTCGGAACGAAACTCTATGCTCCCGTCGGCGGGGCTGTAAATTAGGCGGGATATGAAACTGACTCCTAATCGATTTTTGCAACGGTTTGTTTTTCCTGGGCCCTAGAGAATAGTGTTCTATATTCACTTTCTCTTTCCCCCAGGCCGTGGAACAAATCATCGGTGGCAACATCTACCAAGCGTCGAAAGTCCCCCAATGGACCAACACCACCGTTGAGCACATACTGTCTCAGTTGACGAAGCAGAACAAGCAATTGAAATATGTCGGTGAGTCGATCATTCCGTGTTCCGATCTTTGTCATTTAGCGAGACCTTGTGCAATGAAATAGAATAAATGAACAATCCAATCTGATGGAGACTCTGATTTTTTCAGTCACTTGTGTCATAATGCAGAAGAATGGCGCAGGTCTGCACACTGCAAGTTCCTGTTTCTGGGACAATACGACGGATGGTGAGTGTCTCCTGATCTCCTTTACGGATATTCAATAATCATTCTGTGGATTCTCCATGGAATCGTTGACCATCCCCGTCCTTAGCTCTGCTCATTCTTTCCAGGGAGCTGCACCGTTCGGTGGGAAAATAAAACCATGTACTGTATGGTTTCCGTCTTCGGACTAGCCTTTTAAGCAAAGTCATTTTGTTGAGGTTGTTCGTCAGTGCAACACTTTTGATGAGGATATTTAGAGATGCTCTTGGTCAAGAGCAGTCATCCACCTATGAGAATCATTCAGCGGCCAATCAATGCACAGATCTTTATGTATAAATAAATAATAAATGAAGCCGGAATAGTTCACGAATTTCAGTTCGGGCACCGCTAATATAAATCATACGTTTCCTGATCGTCGATCAGTATCGTTGGCGGATTATTAGGTGTTCATTGAGTTGTTTGGAGAATAAATGGCTTCTGCGAGTGCTTCCGGACGAAATTATCATGATGTGGACTAGAATCGGGAGACTTTTCGAAAGACGGCAGTAAGAAGTCTGTTCGATCATAATCAACGATAGAGATTTAATGTCTCACCGAAACGATAAATATATAATCTTGATCTATCCAAAAGCCCAGTGGGATGAAAACATCGAGTTTTTCGATCCTTAGATCGTCAACCAGAAAGATCACTTCTTTGCTGGAGACTGGTTGTGAAGAAGCTGTTGATCCGCAGCATGCCATCTTCGGTCGGCTCGTAGAACTTGATATCGTCAGTTGACTCGGAATCGTCCAAAATGCTCTGTCCGATGACCGGATCGCTGAATAAGTCTACGCTCTCGGGTCCTGGCATTTCAAGGAATGACCGTCGGATACAGCCCAGCTTCAGCAGAATGTCAACGAGGTCGATGACTTGAATGCTTGGCTCGACGACAGAGCAGAATCTATCCTGGAGATCGGCTTCGGTTATACCTGGATGATCACAGATGAACGAGAAAATAGCGAGGAGCATCTTCGTGAATATGTTGACGTTCAGGCTGCCGTCCGGACACTTCCACATCCGCGGCACAAACAAAAGAGGTTTGCAGTTCTCGAGCTGAGCCGAGATGCATTTCATCTGTCGTCTCCGCTGCCGATGGTTGACTTCCGTGCTAGCCTGGGGTCGTTCTTCCACCGGAGGCGCATCTTCCGTCGTGCTGCTCTTGTTCGAGCATCGAATACGCTTCCTAGGTCTCATATCGTCCATTGCGGTAGACACTCTCTTGCGCATTTCCTTCGGTATTCGATAACTTTTTATGAGCCACGGATTGGAATAGGCGAACGCAACGAATCTCTTCTGGTTCACGCCGATAGGCAACAATACTTTCAGATCACAGAGAATGTTGGTGATCTCCTCTAAATAACTGAATTTTCCCGACTGGATAATCCATAGCTGCTGTAGACTGAGACCCACTTCTTTAGACGCGAGGACCAGTCGGTAGGTTTTCATCGCGAACTCCAAATCGCCGGCACCGATCTTTTTCGAAGATTTGAACTCTTTCTCGATAACGGCTTCGGCGTCTAATTCACTCAACGAAGGATCGTAGTAGGACTTCAACCTCTTGATTATCTCCCCGTGCAAGTCGTTCCTGAGGATATCGCCGCCCTTCACCTTGTGGTGATAGCAACCGAAACTGAGGTCGGTCTCTTCCTTGAGTGCGCATTTTATCGGCAGAGGATTCAGTCGCATTTCCTCGTCGTAGCGAATGTTCTCCATATAGTCCATCATCCGCTCCCGCGCAGCCAGAACGCTGCTCCTGCTACTGTTCACGGTGTTCTTCGGATTCACTCTCCCGGATCCCTTACGGAAAACGAACTCTATGGGGCTCTCGCGAAACTCGTAGGAAACCTCCGCGAGCCCGTGCAAGGAAAGATGAGCGAACAGGATCATGAGCGCCGGCGTCGGATTGTCGTCGGCTATGTCCACGGTGCGGTCACGCTGAATTTTCTGCATCTGCTGACTCATCGGATTGAGCACTTCGTCATGGTACCGAAGTTTCATCATGAAGTACCATTTGAAGCTGAGACTATATGGCAGACCCGGGAGGTGCAGAATGCGATCGCACGTTTTGTAGTTCTTGCTTTTTTTCCTCGCGATCATCTGACTGTCGGTGAGGCCTTTGAGAACGACTCGGAGGAGCGGATCGGGATACCTCTCGTAGATCGTGTAGAGAAGATACGACCAGTTCGTCTTGCCATCCAAGGCGAAACTCGCGATAAGGATCGTGGCCACGGTCGCCTGATGCACGTCGACGACATTCAACGGCTCTCTGTATCTGAACGCGGTCCTCGACTCCTGGAGCTCGTCGACCTCGAAAGAATCCACCTGCTTGAGGTCGACTTTCGAGGAACACTTCACTCCCTGTCGAGACAAGGACTTGCGAGCGACCTCGATCAGATCGAGGAATAACTTGTGCTTGACCTGTGCGTTGACGCTGTCCTGGATTTCTTCGATCCGCCTCATTATCTCTGGCTCGCGCATGATATTGAAACGCATCGCTCGAGCCACCGCGTTCTTCTCTGGATACTTGAGCAGTTGTCGGAGCCGGCGAACGCTCGCGTGCCTCGTTTTGTCGTGACAGCTTTCGGGAAAGATGGACAGAAGCAAGTCTCGGAGCTGGGATGCCGGAACGACGAGCCTTCCATGGTCGGGATAGACTACCGAGCTCAGAGTTTTCACCAGGAGTAGGATATAGTCGTGTTCGGCGCGCCATTTCACTCGTTTGAGATTCTTCATGTTCTTCAGAGCTTCGACATCACGTTCGTCGAGCTTGACGGCTTTCCGTCCCTCCCGCTTGTACACGCGCTTGTTCCTGATAATGAATTCTTTCCGTTTTTTCACGGGAGGATTATTCGCAATCGGCACGCTTTCCGGGATTGCGAGCGCTCGCGACGGAAGCGGACCCTTGACATGCTCGTTCTTTTTGACCTTTACTCGGAACTGTTGCTCGATGACTTTGAGCGCCGTCACTGTCTCGAGGCTTTCTTTGAGTTTTTTGTGCGATTGACGCACAGCCGACCAGTTGGCTCTCCGATGCGCGTGCAGTCCCGAGTCGAAGCCGCAAGCCCCCTGATGGTCTCCGGGCGGGAGACCTCCATCGTCCAAGCCAGCGCTGTCGAGATCATAGCGTCGCGCAGCCTCGACGAGCTCGGGTTTCTGACCGGAAGCGTAGGCGACGTACGTCTGCGACGCGAGTTTGCTGTACATTCCCAACGGTGTGCTCATGCAGATTTCCTCGACCCGGGTCCAGAAGGCGAAAATGTCCTGCTCGCTTCGCAGGAAGAACGACTCGAGCAGGAAGTCTTTCTCGTCGAGGCCCGTCTTCAGGAATCCCGTCCGTCCGGTCGTGTCGACGACGGTGATTTTCCTGTTCAGGAAGAACCACACCTGATCTTTCTCTTTGTGTTTCTGTGGTCCGAAACGCCCCAGACCCATGTGACTCAGAGTGATCGCTTGCTCGTGCAATTGATAGAGCCAGCGTCTGTTGAAGAGCAAGAGGTCGCGCATCTCGTCCGGGAGGTACCTCAGGAGATAATGTTGTTTCACGGGATCGCCCAAGTACTCTTCGATGCCAGGTACTTCGAACATGACACTGGAGAGTTGAATGAAGAGCGACAGAGGGCACAGTAGCCACGCATCGCCCAAGATACACCATCCTGGAGAGCGTTCGGCTGCCAGCGGAGGAATGAACTTTTTCCACGACACCTCGTCGTGGTAGCTCACGATAGCGTCGATGCTCACCAGGGACCCGCGGCTCGGAACCGTCCCGTCGTAGCTGTAGAGCAGGTAGTGCAGGAATTCGTACATGAGCTTGGCTCGTTTGAATTTCGGCTTGTAGCCGTATTTCTTCGCCATGGCGGGATTCGGTGTGGGATAGCTCTTCGGCGGTCCGTCGTCGGGCGCACACGTTAGAGCCTCGCGGGTCCTCGGCGGATTTAGCGGCTTCGTCTTCTCGTTCAGGTGCCACATCTGGATGCAGCCCTGGACGAGCTCGTGGTCGTCGCCGACGTCCGAAGCGCAGATCATGAGCAGCTCGCGCTCGCCTTTGCTCGTGTCGAGTTTGCAAACGACTGTGTTTATGTAGCCGGTCTCGTCTAATTTCTGGAGGATCCTCTCCAAGCTGTGCTTGCACAACTTGTCTTTGAGTCCGGCTTCCTGCTCTTCGCGTCGGAGGATTTTCAGAAGTCTGTAAGGTTGCGGGATGACCTTCAGCTCTCGGGTGAGCTCCACGATACGCACGGCCCGGCTCAGGGTTCTCTGGGTTGCGAAAGTCTTCTTGATGTCGGTCGAGTTCGTCTGGGCGACCGTGGATCCCTCGCCGGCTGTGATCGCTGGGGGTTCGATTCGTTGGAGCGCCGAATGGTTCACCCGAGTCGTCACGTCGGCGTAGACTTTGCTCACGTAGATTGTCACTTGTTGTCTACCGATGGCGACGCAATGCGAACTTATTGAGTTTTCCTTGCAAAGCGTCTTGATGATGTTACGAACGAAGCGACGGGGCAAAGCGAGATGTGAAGCCAGTTGCGCCATGGTCATGCCCGCCGCACCGGATCTTTCGATCGCCTGGAAGAGACGCAGATCAACACTATCCGATCATCTGACTATTCTCAGAATCTCTCTTCTATCTTCAAATAATCATCATCATTACACAGAGCGGGAGAGTACGGATATTCGGTCTCCATGTGCCAAACGAACCGGCTGGTACTCACCCGATATCCGCTTTGGATCGCGGTGTAATTGAACGCCGTACGGCTACCGTCGTAGATTCGATTTATCTGTGAGAACAACGTGGCGTGCTCTTCGGGTCCCTCGATTTCGTCTTTGAGATCGTCGTCTTCATCGACTCCACCCTCTTCGAGTTTTACTTCCGCTTCCTGGGCCGCTAGATACTCGTCGAATGCTCTCCTGTTCAACTGGATGACTCTTGCCAGACGGACGCTTTGAGCTGGAAAACGACCCTTCGTTGGAAAACTGAGCCTCTGTCGTATCTCACCAGTCAGTCGGTGAGTCGAGGGTTCACTATCCATTCAAGCTCGGAATAGGATGGGAGACATCGGATTCACGCACCTTTCGTTATGTAATCCACTGGGGTTGCGTCCGGCTTGTACTCCCTCCAAGAGATGGTTTTGATTTCGAATATGTTCTTGTGAGATCCTCGGATGATGCGCTTGAAGATGTAACCGTGAATCGAAGGCAAATCCGCCTTCATGACCGAAATTTGCTCCCAATGATTGGGTTTTTGCAATAAGTATTCGGCGGCATCGCGGACGGCTTTATCTTGCGGAGATTCTATACGCCGGAAGAACCTGGAGAGTCGCGGAAATAGATTGAGTTGATTTTGGATCGGAAGAATGTCAGACAATTGTCATCGAAATTCCATGAGTCATGAGGCACGAACCGCCGCAGATGCAAGAGGTTCCCGGTCTGCTGCTTCCCGGGGAGGTTGATTCGACAGCTTTGGGCGACGACGAATCCGTAGGTGACCAGTTTTTTCTTGTAATAGAATATAGTTCCCGGGCTCTCTCGGAATACCTGTAACGACAGAGATCGGCGGTCGCCTGAGCTTCGTTTCTGGACGGATAGGAGGAAATGAATCCAGAGGATCCGAAGTGATAAAGTTCGGGAGGACACAATATTCTCGATCTCAATGTAGGTCGATACCTTCATAAGACCGTTAGGTCCTGGAGTTATTTCGCCGTTGTATCGAGAGCGTCCGACCCGCTCAAGGAGGCAGTACATGACACCCCTCATCGAAGATATTTCGTCCGATTTCACAGCGGGGCCACACAGCGTCTGACGTAGTCGGAGAAAAAATCCGTAAAATATCCCTTCTCTTTTTCTCTCTGCATTCACACAAGACGATGAGCATGAACTTTACCCTCGATCGAGTCGCCTGGTTGGCGACGATGACATGGTCCCAGCCGAGAAACTCTTCGGCCTGCTCGAGATTCTGTAAGTTCGGATCGCCCCGGACCGATTCTGAAATGCCGGCGGCAGGATGTCTATTAATTCATGTATCGACTTATCCTCTCGGAGTCCGAATGGGGATTAAGGAATAAAGCTCTTTACCTGTCACGTCGACTCGCGTATCGAAGGTCGCGCAGCTGCCCATGACGCTTCCGTTGTTTTTGACGGGCTGCGGGAATATTTTTCTATCAGAACTCGTCTCAGATATTGAATACCATGCTAAACCCCATCCGGTAAGCTATACAGCAGAGAGGTGGAAAAGAGAACACTCAATGGGTTACCCACCCCGAACGGGTACGGATCAACTCGGGGGGCGTAGTTTGCCTGTGTGAGGACCCCCATCTCGTCCATGTATTCCGGAGACATACGATCGAAAATCACACTATCGGGACGCGGTTCGGGCAAACGATAAAACTGAAGTCGCTTATCACGCAGGACCTGGAAGGGTCGATATACTCAGGATTAGAGCTGTTGGAGCCGTCATCATATTAGATTCTCCGGCTACAAACAAAAAAAGGAAAATGCCTCCGTCATGATGGGGATCTCTCCGCGCGATCGAGGACGGACCGTCGCGTCGCTCACATCAGATTACCTTGCCCCAGATGAACTCTTTGAGCTGATCGTCGAGCTCACAGCCGCCTTGTTCAACATCGTATCGCTGCTGCATGCGGCTCTGTGGGAAGAGACGAGAATATTCTTGACTTGAATCACGCCAGAGAGGTGTATGATCCCTCCACGATCATCAATTATTCCCGCTTGATCCTGAAGAATCGAGATCGTCACTATGCATCACTTACCCATAGATTGGGGAGCGTGGAGCCATCGAGGCCTTCCAGGGCAACTTCCTCCACGACGTCTTCCGAAACTGTCAGCAGATTAAGCATAGTGTTCCTTTTTCCAGTGAAAATGGAAGACAGGCAGCAGCGGCGCGATGCCGACGTTCTTCTCCGAGCAGTTCGAGAACGAATTTGAGTTGGCCGAGGAAATCTATCCGACCACGGAGAAAGGATTCACATCGTTCCGCGCTGATCGATGGATTCGCACTGAACCATGGAACTTGATTCTCATGATCGTTCCATGATATGGTGAACCATACTCTCTTGGTGTTGCATTTCTTTCCGGTGAGTTCAGAACTCGGAATCACGCTCTCGTGTTTGTTTACATCGACACGGCGCCCTTCCCCGGTCCCTCTCCACTTTTGGCTCTCCATCGCTGGGCTTCTCCGGGGACGCGCGCAACTCGCAATCATTAGCTCGCGTGTGTCGGACATGGGAGATCATGGGATTACGGACCTCGCACGTCGTGGAGAGCTCGCGTCTGTTGCAACTGCTCCATCCTAGCGGTCGGAACTGAGAAAAAGCGGCCAGGACGAACCTGCTGGAGACTTTCAGTGACCCAGCTGGCCCGATCGAACCGTATGAGCATCACTCGGAGGTGCGATCGTCCTCATCAGGTCACCCCCGACGTCGAACCGTCGGACCCTGGATCTGTATTCCCGCGTCTGCAGCCGTGATCAAGAGCTCCAAGCCACACCGGCAGAGAGTGCGTAGAATCTTCGGGCCGAGTAGAAGTATCAAGCCGATCCCATCTCGAAACCTTAACACCGAGTCACTGAGAACCGAGATACACCGGAGATTGTGGCCGAGAGACATCGCGGAGCACCCAGATGGTCAACTGATGGCTCTGGCTACGGCCATTGTTCCATCTATGGCCTGAGAATCCGCCTAAGTTCGGAGCATGTCGCGGATACTAGTCCGAGACCAACAATGAGCTGGACATCATTCCATCGGAGAGTTTTTGGTTCTGTGTCGTTTTCTTGTATTCCATTGATGCCAAAATATGAGATCGCGGATGACGAGCCGGGGAGGAATAAAAGAAACTTCTTTGAGCCCTGAGATTGAGAACGCATTCCATTCAACAACGTTCGCTGGTCATGCGATAAATTATTTCGCCTATTTATTGGTAAGACAATAAGAGCCAGAGAGCACTCAATCTCTCATGGCGGGCCATATGAGCAAAATACGGATCCGAATGTTTACAGTAAATCATCTCCTAACAACTAGACTTCCGATATATATTCTAACGATTGTTTGTAATACACAGGAATTTCACGACGTGTCCAGCCGAATCATCCGAAGTTTTAATCGATCTGCCAGAACACAGGCTGCTTCATTCGAACCTCCGCAATAATGCGACGACGAGAACACAGTCAGAAGACGTTCATTTTGCTGGACCTGGATGGATAAAGTAATTCGGTAAGTTTGAGCGGAATACGATGATGGAGCAGCTAGATGGAGTTTCCCAGATCAACTCTGAGCGTTTCGGGTACGTCCGTTTGTGATTGCTTCGACTCTCACCTGGAAGCCCGCCTGTTGAACTTCATGCGCGCGGATGACATGCGATAGCTGATTCGAGTCCAGAAACTTGCTCAAGGCCCTCGAGCTGAACATGTGCGCGGTTCGTCTCTTTGGATTTGGCAGGAAATCTTCGGAATACATCGCGTCGCCATCCTCCGAGGGAATTGCCGGAGGTTCATCGGATTTCCTGATGGGAAAAATTCTCAAAATGACGATTATCTCTCACAACCCATCGTGAGGAGTGACTAGACTCGCGAAAGGTCGTCACCGCCGATCCGGCACGGATATCTACTCACGAGACGGGGTCACTCCACATCAATTCCCAGGCCAAGGGACTCTGCTCCTCAGGATCGGACAGCGGCTTAGGTATGTGATTGATAGCTTCGATTCCCATAGGTTGACCGGAGATCTCCAGGAGCCAATCGGGCGGGATTCCCCCGTGCACGCAGAACAGTTTGTCATCGATCACTGCCGCCAGCGGCATGGCATCGAAGCATTTGTTTATAGCTTCCCAAACTCGGGTTCCAAGATTTTCGCCGAATTTTTGACAACATTCGCTGCATGGAAAAAGTTGAGTTAGGAGGCGTCTCAGCTGGAAATCGGAAAATAATCCAATGTCAGGTTCGCGAGCCCGCCCACCTGTGGAACCCGAAGATCTTCTGCACTCCTCGAATTTCGTGATTGCCTCTGAGTAAATAGAACTTCTCGGGTCCTAAAAGCTTATCCGAAAACAAGTGTGCTATGACTTCGAGTGAGTTCGGACCTCGGTCCACGAAGTCACCCAGGAAAAGGAATGAGCACGGAGTCACAACTGGCCCCATTCTCCACAACGCCTTCTCGAAGCACATCAGATCCCTGTGGAGAGAACCGGGGGAATTAGGACCGACGACGAGGCAGATCGCTCCGGGAGAGGCTCTGGTCTATTCAATCGCGACAAGGCTACGACACCGACCTGTAGTTTCCATGAATGTCCCCCAAAATATAGGTGGGGCTCCGTAGTCGCAACAATCGCTCTTCCTTCATGAGAATCTTATAGAGTGAGTCACAAACTTTCAAAACGCTATTCGCAAGAGCTGTTCTATCAACGTCTCCCCAGCTGAAAGCAAGCTTCGGTGAATTTTTCGCCGAGGGCGGAACTTCATGCTCGAAATATCGTAGAGCAAGCAACAGCTCGTTCGGATGGTTTGCCTGAAAAGAACGGCGCGGGAATATCAAGCTCTCGCTCGTCCGCAGCAATTCTCATTACGGCCTGAGAGTGTACCCACCTCGTTGAAGGAATTCACCGAAATGGATCTTCCCATGCGTTGCTCCTGGCGATTCTGTGCGACGGAAGCGATTCCGCGGTTCTGGTTCTCGTCGCGGGATTGAGCGTCCCACCAAGTCAACGCCTCGCTCACCGAACCGGTCCGCCGAACTCGGACCGTGTGCAAAGCGATGGTATAATTCTGCTCCTCGGGATTCTGCTCGTTTTCCGAAGCACGGCGACGCTTCGCAGCTTTTGAAACTTTCCTAGAGGACGTCGAGTCGAATATTGAGTTGAATATTCAATTGATTTTTTTGCCACACTCGTGGGGTACATGGAAGATTAGGGTCTGTGGGTGTCTCGCAGAGACCTTCGCGCATGTCCACAGCATGCACGTAAACTCACATTAAGCTCATTTTGTGAAAGGCGGACGACTTCGCTCGGAAGAGAGTCGACGTCCCGCGGTACTGCAGATTGCCGAGGGCCTTCGAGAAAGCACTCGATCCCAGCAGAGCTGTTTCATCGAGATTGAAGGCTCTCCGGGCTTCCGTTATAGTGTGTTCGAGATCGGTCAGGCTATCGGAAGACCGAGCCTGCTCGACGTCCCGCACCAGAGCGGCTAACTCGGCCTTGTTCAGGAAACCGTCTTCGTCCCGGTCATAGAATCGAAAAATATATCGAGAACGCATTTCTCCGGATACGTCTCCGTGAGCGGTGGACGGCTCTAGACATGCTAAGGCGCAGAGGACATCGAAAGGCCAAGCGAACGATGAGATGGGCTGGCAGCAGGCTCTGAAGATGTCTAAAACAACGAGGAATAAAATCCCTGATCGATCAATGATGATCATGAATACCGTTCCCGATCGATTCATGAGCCATAACACTGCTGAGTGAGAGCGGGTGTGAGTGGCATCTCCCGGATGCGACTCACGCCGTTTCTCGTCTCGAGATCGCGCTCACCGATCAGTCCGGTAGGCGAATCGATGTAGGTATTTTCCATGAATTTCAGAAAACCGCTCCGGGATATTTTTTCACATGGCCAAACCGAGTCCAGGAGCTCAGCCGACAACGCGCCTCTCCTCTCGTCGGTGAAGCGGGCGCTCTCGAATACCTTGTGTATCTGCGATCGCATATCTCTCTGCACTGACATCGTGTCTTCGATCGCGATTTCGTCAAGTTGTGAACTCAGGTAGTCCGGAGAGAGGAAATCGTCACTGAGGAGTGCGCTCTACGGGCGGAAACGAAAATATCTCCATGGAACTTCTATGCTTGACCACGTCCCAGAGCTCCGCAACCACGACCCTGGAGGTTGAGACATTTCCTACCTGATCGACCTCAGGGATCGGAGTCCAAATACATTTTCCGCTTTTAGAGGCCACGGCCACTTTGAAGATGACGTTCTGCCACCAGGACTCTCCTGACTTCGTCCGACGAAGGAACACGGCGGGATTTCCGCACGGCTCGATCCGTAGCTGGATGCGGTAGAATCGAACGTCATCCGCGAGCCTGTCTCTCGGCTCCTCACTCTCTGTTTCGCGGTGATCTCGCTAGAACTCACCTTCTCGATGAGGTACTTGTAGCTTTCCGCGTAAGACTGCGGCGACTGCAACACTTCGAACGGTAGCCAGAGGAGACCGTGCTGATCTGTGGACAGCGCGAGCTCTCTGCCGAAATGGGCCCACAGAGAGACCGCTTCGCGAACAGGTGGCATCGTTGTCGATGAACTCTAGTCGGGTCGCACGTCGGGCCGTACAGTTAGGCGAAACCGCTCGGACGAAACCGTTCACTATTGCATGTGATGCGATGGATAGGGGAGTAGAATGAAAACCTTTCGTCGTTCGGTTGAGAGCTCGCAGAGATCTCGTGCGAGAGAAAACGCTACTTTCCCCACATTGTCTCGTCTGTCACGGTTAGAGCTACGAATCGACCGAATTCGCCCCAGGGGGAATACCTCGGATCAGCTGTTTATTCCCTGAATTATTGATATGTGCGCACCACAACAACAGGTACTCGAAAATGATTATCTCGCAGCGCATGAAAGGCGACTGCAAGCTGATGGTGTTGCTGCTGCTCGATGATTTGCTGACAAGGCCCTCCCTCTCCCTTGGAACACTGCTGACTGAGTGAGAGGGAGGGTCTTGTCTGCTGATGCAAGGCTTGATTTAAAATCTGAAATTCTTGGGGACCTTTGCCCGGAGTCTCCAGCTCAACGAACTTATAAGGGGCGACCTGACGAAGAGGTGCCCATGGCGGGAGTTCCTCCCAGGGGCAATCCCCCCGTATAGCTTACGGGAAGAGTCGACGCAAGCACCCAGGGGGAGAGGGTAGATCCCGCCGTATAATAGCGCGAACTTGAAATGATCTCACATTGCCTTATTCTACCCCGAACCGCAAGCTTCTCCGTCTGCCCATATGTATGTATATTCCTCGTGTGCACATTTATTGGTGAGCTCCGAACGAGTTAGCGAGCACGGTGGTGAAGACCTCCCATTGCAGGACCTGCTAGCCCATCGAATAGTCATTCGGTGATTCCACAAGAGGTGCATCCAGTCCGCCGATACATAAAAACTCCTTCGGAAACTTGGGTCCGGCTCGAAGGGAATCGACCGGGAGCTCCTTTCAGTACACCATCGCCAGGATCTGTCCTACACGAAAGGTTTCCGAACCGCTCGGCCATGTGCACCGTTGGCGACAGCTTGGACTCTGCCCACTCGCTCATGACTTCTCAAGCCTCAGCGTCCAATTTGTGTTAGCGGTCAGGCGTTCGGGAACAACAGATCTACGAATGTCATCCCCCGCTCATATGTTTTAAGACCTTGCATCTCCACAGATGATCACGGTTTCGACGGGGACTGGGACGGAAAGCTCAAGCGACTCGCGGTCTTGCACTCGATGGGAGCTGAGGAAGGATGGGACAGAGAGTTCCACCGGATCTGAGGTTAATTGAGCAAGACCTTCGAATTAAGGCGATAGATAGACTGCTCTCGGATCCGATTAACGGAATTCATTCTTGAGAAGTTCTTCCGTTCGTTGGTGTCAACATCCTCGTTCCCAGACAGCTCAGATGCTCGGTGCCTCTGGTAACTGCTCCTAGACCCTGTCCGGGACCCTCGTATTCCGCTGAGATTTTCGCGGACAGTTCCACCTCTAATATCAACAATCAGAAGCGATCTTTTCATGATCCATTAGTTTCTTGATTCATGAGCTTCAGCAGCACTCAATGCGGAATTCGCCGCTGCGTTCTCTGCAATCATCGTCAGCAGACTCCCGATTCTAGCTATTCCAATCTCGGATGGGCGCTTGTAAGTCGACAAGAGCCCGCCTGAGGATCGGCATCTACGACCGAAGGGAAAAAAAGCGCCGATGTGAATGAGCGAGGTTTAATAATTCTCGAGCGAGTGATTCGGTAACTCATTTCAGGAATCGGATCGAGCGGATCCGACTGCTTGAGAGGTCCGATATTACATGAGATCATTGATTGTATCCGAGGAGCTATCAGCTCCGAATCTGCGTTTTAAGAGGTATGTCCTCGACACGACTCTCTTTTGCATCGTCGTCCGACCCCAGATCGAACCAAGAGAGGACGTCCAGTGCTTTCGGTGGATTCCACGAGAATTTCTCGTAGCAGGTGTAGTTGAATAACTCGGGGTCAATTTTCGTGGTCCTGTTGCCACCTGAGAATCGCAACGAATTCCAATGTACTCACGTGCTTGGCCGAGGGGAAGTTCCTCAGCACCAAAACTTAACATTCGAATTCCAGGCACTGGAGGATCTTTCTTGGAAACCGGTCGTCAGAGATCTCAAGCACCAACCTGTGAATATGCTGACCAGTACCGCAACACTAACACAGATCGCTAAGCTCATCGCCGGTATGACGTACGGGTGAATTTGATACAGTTGGAGGATTCCGCTAGAAAATCAGAGCGTATTGCGAAGCCTGATGGGAGCTCTTCGACGAAGTTATAGCAATCATCGTCCATCTACCAGCAAACTATCCCTGTTCCACGGTGGCTTGTTTTTTTCGTTCGCAGCGGATCCAGATCGATCAAAATGGATTCGCGATACCGACGAACGCTCCAAGCCTGGAACCTGCGCTCACCTGGGCTGGATAGTGCGGAGTACGGGTTTCGCGTAGAAAACTGTCGTCCGGTAGTCGACCGTGGAGACGGCTAGATCCGGGAGCGAGGCATTACAGAACTGAACCACAAGAGGTAATTGGGTCATCACTGCCGGATACAGCAGTTTCCCTACCGCGCTCCACGCACAGATAGTGAGCGATACGGTGAAACCAGCGATTGCGCCCTGCAAGGAATAAACTCTAGGATCTCCTCTCGGCTCTCAATCGTAGAAGGGTCAATCAGGAGTTCCGATTGGGAGTTGGCTCCACTTGACAAAGCTCCATATATATTCGTGGGTGAAGATCTCGCCGTACCGGTGTGTTCACGAAAGGCAAGGTGACACCGCAGAGGAAAACTCCGCAAGTCGGACCGATGATAGCTGCCGATATTCCAAGTGCAGCGTGGAGGATGTTCCCGACGTAAGCGCTGAGGAAACCAAAGCCTATCGTGATGACTCCGATTGTCAAAGCTGGAATTGGGAACACTGCTTCTGGAGTCGAGTCAGGTATTTCAAGATAAGGACTCGCTACACTTCCTCTTGATTCGTATGCAGCCTCGGCAGGGAATACCGGTGTTCATATTATATATTGATGGTGAGGGTGTTTTTTCGTTCTCGATGCGCGAACTGGAGGCCGGCGGGGGCTCCGCCGAAAAACAAAAGACCGATGAGCACCATGAGACGGAGACCACTCACCGATGAGCCTGGTCACCAGAGTCGCCCTGTTGTCGGCGAAGTTCTTTGGCAGATAGGGAGCCAGGAAATCTTCGTATATGCATGCGGACATCGAATTGAAACCCGACGACAGACTACTGCAATTGAAGATTGAGAGTGGAGAAGAAGAGGAAAGATTGGAGATCTTACGCTCCTCACTTCAGGTTCCCGCTGTCAGTCCCCCCAATCGTTTGGATGTGATTGAACCTGAGCTTATTTTTCCCAAGTCCTTGGTCCCATCGAGTGATATTCGCTCTCAATGGCTCAAAGTACCTGAGAGATCCCGCGAATACGGCTGAGACGAATAGTCCTGGGATTCCCGGCAGGTTCAATCGCTCGAGAACGAAGTAAGGCATCAGCTGGCAACGGAGGTCGGTATTAGCTGAATAAATTATTCTACACCATTTCGATCGGCACAGAACACTCTACATCATCGTGTAAGCGCTTAACCTGATCTGCACTTTTGATAAAGCCGCGTCCAATAGGATCGCATCCATGGTAATAAGCGTAGACGGAAAGGCCAGCACCGAAGGCCATGGTAATGGTCGAAGCAACTCCGAGCATATTCAGGTAAACAGCTCTGTCAATGAGGAAAAGAACTCTCGTCAAACTTGGCGCATCCGGAGCGTCAGAATCATCGGCTTTGCTTGATAGAACACTTAGATGCTCAAATCGAGTACTCACACGCGCGCTTTCGCCGCGGTAGGCAAACTGCAGTAACGCTGAATCTGCATTTGATTCATGCCATTTGCAGAAAACCAGAGAACTCCCATTCCGACAAAACAGTTCCAGAAAGAATCGGCCGCGTAGGGATTGATCATCATCCTGCGAAACGGGGAATGAAGATCGATAGCAAGAAAACGTAGCTAGGAGGAGGGCATTTCTTTTAGAGGTCTGTTAAGGAAAAAGAAATGATCAACTCGAACCTGAAAACATTCAGTCGTCCCGCTTCGTTCGCCCTCCGGAAAACTTCGGGGAGCCCCCCAACGTCGTAAACCGCCTTAGCGAAAACCATCACGAGTCCGAAGAACATGAGACTCATCTGGACAACGTCTGTCCAGACGACCGCTTTCATACCTCCCTGGAGTATCAGAGAAAGATCAGTCAGGAGGTGAAAACTGCAATTTTTGAATTATGCAATGCTCCGCTAAGCTGCCAACTGTCGAAAGCTCGACCCACGATAGTTGTGTAGAAGGTGCAGATCGTTCCCACGGCCAACATGCTGACTGGGACAGCCAATCCCGTCACGGCTTCCACCGCTACAGCTGGAGCATACAGCTGCACGCCGAGGAAGATCAACTGCAGAGAATTCTTCGAATTTAGGAATAATCACGGACCTCTCATCGCGCCGACATTACATCGTTACTCCAACTCTCGAAGTATGCACAGCTGAATGAACTTACAACGCTGAACAAGGACGCGGCCGATGCACCTTTGCGCAAAGCTTTGGACTGGAATCTCCGTTCGAGATACTGAAAAGGAGGATCTGCCGCTCAGGACCTTGAAACAACTGGGGATCCCATTCGTGAACCATCTTTCCCGGTATCGCCTGTATACTTTTGTAAGTATTCGTTATAATGGTGATGGTAAGCTCTAAGAATCCTGAGGGGGGAACACGGATGTTCGGCCAAACTCAGCCTAATATCGTGGCAATTCACCCTAAAGTGGATCCCGTGCAGACGTTCTGCGGATCAATTTTAGATGAAAGGAGGGGCGGATCCAGCTCCTTCTCTCGAGAAGGAGAGGGCGGGGGCGCAAGCCTGATTTCTAGGGGGACCAGAGCCGAAAATGGTGACGCGCTCCCTTGCGGCCCAGGCTATAGTATTGGGAGACGATTCTTGGGGGCATTCCCCCCTCCTTCTCCCCTGGATCCGTCGCTGAATTATTGGTACTCACGTCGTTCATGCTGGTGAGACGCAGTCTATAGAAGACCGGTACCATCAACTCGCCCGCGCAGATGGTCGCGAACATCGAGCTCATTACTGAAACACTAATTGCGGCACCTCGCGAGTAGACCTCGGCCGGATATGCGAGCACTGTGATGGCGGACATGAAACTGGCCATCAGCGACAAACTCACAGGAACGACTCCCATTTGACGCGAACCCAACAGAAACTCGGCATTGTTCTGCTTGCGTCTGTCTTTCCACGCGAAGAACATTCCGATAAAAGATGACAGCATCAACGAAAGGACCAGCACCGCATAGTCCAAGGCGTGAAACGAAGCCATGAGGACACTCGAATGAGTCTCTTGATCTCACTGAGCAGCCGTGTCACACACGTATGACTGATGAGGGCGAACGGGAGGGCTAACGTCCGCCAATCCGAACTTGTCAGTCACACTGCTGTGAATCGAATGCCGCTACTTTTCATTGGCATCAATCGTTTGCCTTGACAAAGAGGCTATAGTGTTAGTGGAGTTTCTGTGTTGGCACGTAAAGAGCAGATTCATTGGAGCGAAGGTTCTCGCCACGAAGTTTCTCTCTTTACGGCGCGGCCGTAAATAATTTACAGGCATGGACAAGGTTGATCTCAGCCCTGAGAGAATCATCTCAATCGTCAAGGGATGATTGGAGAGGGCCTGGATGGAGGGAATAGCAGCTCCGATAGACAGAGGACGTGTACATCCTCGATGATGGGGTAGCGACGCTTTCTTTCGCTCAGTCCTCTCGATTGCGACCGGGGTATCGTCCGTAAGTCTAGAGATCCCCTCCTGAAGATCGGTGGTACACTCCCGATTTCACAAGATATCTAGAGAAGGACTCTGCGATGTTCTCCGCGATGACCGCGACCATTCATCGGTTCACTAACTCGATCGCTTTCTCTTCACTGCACGGAGCCATCGCATCGACGAAGTAAATGATTGCACGAAGGAATCATCTGCAAATCACGTTATTGCACGAAACCATCGCATCGACGAAGTGCGTACCTGATTGCACGGAGGAATCGTATCTACGAGGTGAGCGATTTTATGTCCGATAATGAGGCCGCAATCCTGATTCACGGCCTAAACCACAATCGATTCGGTGGAGCGAAACAGCTAGGTCATGCTCTTCTTCTCCGAAAAGTTTTATGTGTCTGCTGACGGAATACTTCGCGAGTCGAGTTCTTCATCTGGGCAGAACTGCATGTCGGGAGCGCCTCTACGCGGACCACTATACCGTCGACGAAGATCACGAGAATTGGGAAGCGTCGGAGAATTTCGGAAAAGTCGCTGGCTCTAGGAGCACTCGGAGCGGGAAAGCTCGTGTAACTTCGGGCACGTCGCTTGCGGGATGCCCCGATCATCTCGTGACTCCATAGCGTGATTTCGACCGTGGAAAATTTCACGCAGGTAGTGTCATGACTCATGACACTACCGTGATAGGACGTGAAACGCCTACGCCAAAACGGTGAACAAAACCCAGCTCTTTTTCATCATTACAAAATCTGCCACAAATCTGTTGATGTGATCCGTTTCCTCCGTATCTCCAGTGGGTACTGAGTGCGTGCCAGCCTCAGCTCAAGTCGCTGCCGCTCAGTCAGCACTACCAACTCAAGTCGAGGAACCGCCGGTTCCCGCTCAGGGCTCGTCGGGCTCTCGAACGAAATCTCCCCAAAGGCTTCGCGTGCAACCAGAGCGCGCCGTCAAGGGTTGGAAAGATTGTGTCACCATGGCTGGTTTCAGGCGTTGAGACTGGGACAGTCGGGGATTCTCTCATGCTTCTCAGCACGGAAATACCATCATTCGGAAAATAGGGCTCGAACCATATGCAGCTCCCTAATACTCATCGATAGTTATTAGATACATATACTAGACTAGGAATCAGCTTTGAAATCCAATGTTCATAGGCTCTGGAAACATATTCATCAAGTAACCGCGGAGATTATCAGTATGATTGGAAATCGGGTCGTGAGGGCCCTCAACATTCTCAGATTCATTTCAAATTCGAATAGAAGATCGTCCCGTAAATTGTCTGCCGATCAATACAATCCAACAAAAATTCTGTGCACAATCGAGAAAGTTCTAGCCTCTCAAAAGCGGCGTTAAATCGTTACATGAAGGACGAAGTACATTGAACGCGCCCCCCAAGTTGAAATTAAAGACGTTTCACGTCAAAACGCCGCGGGAGTAGTGATGACACTCCTTTCAGGAGGAGGGCTCGATATCGCCGGCGCCGGATCAGCTACCACCGCGGATGCTCCCGGAGTATCACATTCGGAGTAGAATCTCGCACTCGCCTCCATACCCCACGTACCTCGTGACGGTAGCGCCTGGCCGTTCCTGGAAGTCGATGTGCCGATGAAAGCCACCGACGCAGTCCAGAGAAAGTATTCGTGTGGGTCTCAAACGATTCCGTTCATATGTCTGCTGTCGCGTTCTCAGATTTGATGAACTCGTTTAGCGTAACTTCAAAAGAGGTACATCTTGGACTCTTTTTCATTCTTCCGATTCTCTCCGGATCGAAGGAAGAGCCCCATCCACTCAGTCGAACGGGAACAACAAAGTACCTACAGGATTTCTGCTTGGAAGCAAATCGCTGTGAATAGAGTTTTGAGCTAATTGGAAAAAATAATTTGTCCGCGGTAACGCAGCTATAGAGCTCTGATCTCGATACCCAATGTGTTGATCTCGGAATTCCTCCTCCCCTCTCAGGGGATGGCAATCTCCTGTGAGCTCGCCGGCCCGATGCTACTGAGCTCGACCCTGCCTCAGGAATTTAGCTGCGTTGCGCAGTTTGCCCTCATTCATCTGCAGCTTGCTACGCCACTGTCGATCCTCCAGTTCAGGCAAGTGTGGTTGAAAATCGCACCGATATTCCGAAGCCCCCGTGGAGGAACGCGCCTCCTAATCGATCTTTCATGAAATCAAAATCGAATCGAACACCTAATCCATCCATATATCGGATATGGAGAGAACATTCGGGCGTTGTCAACGACCTGTCGCTTCTGCGAATTCGTTCGCCGCTTCGAATGATAGCATGACTAGAGCCCCCGCAAGAGCTCGAAAGCATCACAGCGTCCACGACACCGTGCGCTTTTTTGTTCGCGCTCACAGCTCCATCTCATTGGAAGCTCTGCGGGAGGTGTACGGACATTCCAAACATAACAGTGACAAGAGAGTATTCGATTTATAAACAACTCAATGTGTCCAACTCTCGTCACCAGATCGTACGAAGAGGGTCGTGCACGACGCTATCACATTTGTTTTTCAGACATCTCTTCCCGAAACGGTCTCATCCTTGATACTGTAGGGTATGTCATTCATTTGACCATGCTGCCACCGGGAGGTATCTCACTCCACCTCAACGATCTGAGGTAGATCTTCTTCGGCTTCTTGGTCAAAATCCCATTTGAAGTAACGCGTCAGATGCGATTGGAAGCGTTCTGCTCTCCTCCGTAATGCTCCGCCCTCCGGGGCAGAGTCTTGTACATTGCGGAAGAATGTGCTTAGAGTATCCGTCAAGAAGTTTTCCCTGCAATCAAGAACCCAATCATTGAGGAGCTCCGAGGAGGGCAACGAGTCGCTCGGAGACATCGAGAGATAGAGGTCTTCAGTCATTGGAAACGGGATTCGAAACCACAAATGGTTTCCTGCCTCACCGGGACACGATATCGAGGAAGAAGTCCTTGGGAACTTCTTTCAGCTGGAAATGCAGTATTGAGATGAAGTTCAGGTAGAAGGTTTCCAACTGGCTCGCAGCCATGGCTGCTCCAGCCGAGCAGATCACGCGCACAAGTTTCTTCCAACACTCGAATCCCTCGAAACGTTGACCGCACAAGAAAACGATGAAGGCGAATTGAAGTTCCCCTGTAACGAGACCATCATCCAGTTCACGAGAAATGATCCACTATCCTGATTCGGCACAATGGTTTTCCAACGAAGGAGCCGATAATCGATCTTACCGAGAAGATTCTCTGTGCCCACGCTGTCCAACATAACTCGGAGCACATAACTCCCATCCATGCCGTACTGCGTGATTTGAGCAGCTGTAGCTCCCTCGGGATGTCTTCTGATGGGAATCCTGCAAGATTCGGAAAGTTGTAGCGTCGCATCTTCTCGATATCAGCCACGAGGCAAGAACGGATTTCGTGGAAGAGGGTCCAGCGCGACATCCTCAGCACTCACGGAGTCAATCGTAGGGCGCTCTTAGGCTCTTCTTTCATGTCCGGTAATCCCTGGTCCTCCGCCCCTGCTGCTGGTTTTTCGGGCGGATACTTTTGTGGTATCAACTGCTGAACCTGCGGATAGGCGTCGAATCTGTTCTATCAAAAATTCCTCATGGGTAGGAAAGCTCCAATTAGGTCCTCCGGAACTGCTCCCGGGTGTACTCATGCGGACATACCGAATAAATGTAGCCGTCTTCGGGCTGGACCCTCTGAACTACTGCAGCGGTGAGTTTTTCGGTCAAAGACAACCAATGACGATACGTTTCATATGGGTAAGGACCTAGATGTCGGTCCAAGTTTCGCCTGTCGGCTACGAAGCGCTCAACTTGCTCGGGGTCTCTGATTTCTTCCAACATCTCGTCTCTGGGGTTCCATTCGTACACCACTGTTTCTCTCTCGATGAAATTGTGGAAGAAGCCGGTTCTCGGCGCTACGCTGCCGTTGAGGGCGTTACTGAAACGGTAGAAATTCGGTTTCTGATCGGATGAAGCCCGGTGTGGCTCGCCCCACACAGCCGCTAGCGACTCCGAATCGGACAACTCGACTCATATGTCCAAGCTATTATGCCTCTTGCCTGTTTTGCGTACCTGAAGTAGATGAAATGGACGCCTACGGGTATCATCTTCACACCGCGGAACCTTTCCCCGATCTCCCACTGCTTCATATCGACACCTGACGAGGGAGATCATTCCATTGAAGTTTTAGAAACCTTGAGCCAGTAGAAAATACTTGGCAAAACCGCTTAGAATCTCAAGTTCTGGAGTCAGAGGGATGAGAACCGAGATCATTAAGTGATTGGAAAGGGTCTCGGGCTGTGCAATCATGTGGGATTAATTTAGGGTCCGGAGAGACCCAAATAGGTAGTATGGATACACTGTGAGCACCATCCGCAGACTCTCGGCGGGAATACTTCCCATGACCGTCTGACACGCGAATCGCGATGGATTGACTGCACTCGCTCGAAGATTCACTAAGTTCTTCGTGGTCTACTCAGCTGAAGTCGGATGGCCGAATTCACTGGGAAAAGAGGCTCATCGAGACCAGCTCACACCGTAGCGCGTTCAGCTTGGAATGCGATGGAAATGTATGGTGGAAGAGCATAGGGCCTGGGCCCTACACTACTCCTTACTAATGCTTCGGAATCCCGTATTCCATGAACTGACTCGGAGGTGTCAAATCGTCCCGGAGCACAAAAAAAACAAAAAAGTCGTCCGGCGTTCCGGCGCCACCGAATAACGGGAAGGTTCTATGCAGAGCTTCTGCAGGATATCGATTCTGCTCGGGACCACGAGGTCTAATACTTGGACCAATAGAGGCTTCAAGAGGGGTAATTACCGAATTCAGATCCAATGGGCAGATTCAAGATCACCAGAGTAGCTCCTCTTTCAGACAGTCGTTGCACGAGCTCTGGATTCTTATCGTAAAGATCGTCCGATTCAGAGTCCATGGTCGCTCTGACTCTGAGTTAGAGCTCGATTCGACAATTCCTACCCACGATTGGGACAGACAGCGCGGCGTCGAGTTCTCTTCCGTTTTTTTCCGGGAGCTTCGCGCTGTCCGACCGGCTCAGTCTGCCCGCGGCCGATCAGCTGTGCGCTTTCGGCTGCTAGTGTGGTGATGCTGTGGTGTTATCCTCCCGGCAGCGCACGAAACAGAATAGCGTGGTAGCAATCGATTCCCCCGATTGATATCAGGCAGTCAATGTCGCGCGATCTGGTCCCTCCATAGAGCTCCCTTCGAGCCGCATAAGTGCATTTGGCATGTTTCGGGCTATTTGCATGCTATGAGTGGTTCGTGCACTTCGAATTGGTGCTCTCCTGGTGCGGATCGTGAGACCCAAGTTCAGCCGCTGGTTGCGGCGCGAATTGAATTCCTCCCATCTCGAGCTCCGTGAAAAAAGAAAATTCTACAGTGAGTATCGCCTATTAGATGCGCCAAATCGAGTATCAGGATCCACGTCGTATGCTCGGGAATACTGGGAGCCTCAAACCGGCGCTCTCTCGCAGCTCAGGCGTAGGCTCGGCAGGTTTCGCATGAATTTTCCTTTCTCGAAAACGGAATGGCTTTTCTTAGTGAATCTGCGATCATATGTTCGAAATATCTATCACATGCTTCATGGTGAGGATGTCAGGAATCGATACACGGAGCACCTCTTTGCTGCTGTGCTCAACCTTTAAGGCGCGGGAAGGAGGAATAAAAACCGTAAAGTAGTCGGGCGGTGATACAGAACCCCGCCTAGGGAAACGCGCGGAATCAGAATCGTCTCGAAGTCCGCTTGGCTGGAAGAGCATGTCAAATGAGTTTCCTGGGGGGAAGCTCGGATCGCTCGGTCTTGACGCGATTTCTTGCTAGATGGAGAGATCACCGATATATCATTCCACCGCTTCCAGAGAAAATGTCTTCGGACCCGATGTTCTATCACAAGGAGACGAAATTCATCGCGAACGACGTCTTCCTCGGCTTCAATAATCTCAGCCTGCGACAGAGGCGTTACCTTCATCATCTGTCGAAGTACATCTCACGCTTCATCGCTCCCTCGCGCAGCTCCCTCGTAGCTTCCCCTGGTGAAATCTGATGATTTCTCATCTTCGATAGGACTTCTGCAAGCAGCGTATATAGTTTCCCTGGCTTAGGGCGCTCTACCGAGCTTAGAACCATGAAGAACTCTTTCCATTATGAACGAGGACGAGTCGCGCCATAGTCTCCAGCGCAATAATTCGATAACACTGGATTGCTTTTAAGAGCCGCTTGGGAAGGACATCTGATCAACCTCGTTCAGACCTCACCCGAGAGTCCCTTGATCTTCATATTGCTACATCGTATACTCAGATATCGGCCAACGCTCGCCGAAATGAGAGACTTCCTAATTACGAGGCACAAATTCAGCCAGGCTGATGTCGACAATCTCTACCTGTACGCCGCGGCCTTCTTCACAAACGCAGGGAATTATCGGTGAGCTTTGGGACGAAAAATAGATATCTCCAAGCTCCTTGGGTAACTCTCGAACAAATTTGCGAGTTCCCCGCTACTCATTGAGTCGCTCCCTGTTCTCCAGTGCTTTCGGCGATAGCAAATTCATACCGGATGTTCCGCAAACCAAATTGGCTACAGTCACACAAGAAGTACTGGGCCCCGCAGAATTTCATTTCTACAACAGCCACTGTTTTCCGAGAATGTACGACTACACTGAGAAAGTCCGACTCCTGGGATATTTCCCACCCAGAGGTACCACATCATTCTTCTCGACCAACTGCACAGAGGAAGACGGGAGATTGATCACAGCATTCCTCATTTCGAAGGTGAGTTGCGTATTGCAGATTATCCCCCGCAGAGCTCTGCCGCCCTCTGGTGATTTTTCCGGGCGGAAGTCCGAGCACCAGGCAATAGGCAGCGAACTCAGAGGCGAAACTCATCTCCTTCCCAGAATATCGAAGCATTCAATCACAGAGTCCTCAAAACTATCGACCCTGACGGAAGAAGCGTTTACGAGATTCGTTTCGCCTCGGCCGAAACAACAGATGACTTGGACACCTCCCCAGAGAACATCATAGGGACGGCGCACGTTTACGAAGGTTCTGTGATCAAGATGACGCGAGGCGACTACAGGAAACTTCTGGGTATGCTCTGGTGGTTCGGGAAAGCAAAGTCCAGATTTGAGATCCGAGATTTCTGAGACCTCGCCGACGTTCCATTCGGCGAGACGTCGGTCGTAGGGAGAAGTCTCAAGTCAAAATTGTCGTCTACGAAAAGAAGGGGCTGCCTACTCCGTACTCCAATCTAATTTGTGAATATGTGTGGGATTCCCCTGGAACTCTTCGGTCAGGACTCGCTCATATCTTCTAGCCGCGGTCAATGAAGAGCTCCGAGAAGCGACTAATTACCCCCGGAACGGCCAAGAGGCGGATATGCTGAACTTGTTCATCAAATCGTTTGAAATGGGCTCTTTGCAACATCATAGACAAGCCAATCGGATCTGGATTAGAGACAAGCTGCCTTTCGTCGAATGGTGAGACCCGAAGAATGTCAATCATGGGGTTGCAAGCAGCCCAAAGCTCTTCGAAAAAATGCTGCTCTTGATTCCAGTCATTTCGGTTTCGTCGAACGACACAGAGATCCTGCTGGGGGACGAGCCTCTTTTGAGGGTTTCGCGGCGACAGTGACTAACGAGATGACGAATCGCCTCATGAAGCTGGTGCAAGCGGCGCCTCAAATCACTGAGACGTTTCTGCCGTGGCCCAGATCCTTCAACGTCGAACGAGAGCTCTCTCCGGATTTCACGTCGCTCAATGCTATAGCTTTCTCGGGACATTCCATCTACTCTGGCGTCAATCTTCCACACTGTGGGTTCCTCGGGCAGAGTAGAAAATCACCCCCGCACTGAGGGTCCCGATCGGTGCGAGATCACCGCTCGCGCATCTTCTGAGAAGTGGGAGACTTCCGTTTTCAGATTCTGAAGTCACGCAGAATGAATGCTTCAAGAGCATCCTATTTTCGAATCACATCATACACGAGCTTGTGACGCATTTCTTCACGCCGAGAGATTCCGAACTCCTCCTCAAGCATCGTGTGAAAGCCACTGAAGCTCAAGTGATTTTCCGCGAGCTCTTCGGTCACGGCACTGGGAAGGAGCTGCGAGAAAACCGTTTGGGGAAACTGAATTTCAGACGGGACCTCGTGGATCCGCTCACGGGGAGATCTGTGAGTTCCTGATGTTCGGCACGTATTTTCTAGCTGAGGAGCGCCATACTAATGAGCAAGTCGCGATCTCTTGACGTCTATTCTCTTCAAGGTATCGAGCTGGTACAAACCAGGTCAAACATATGAAAATGTCTTCGGGAAGTTTGGCTCCTCGATGGAGGAGTGCAGAGCGGATGCCGTGGGAATTCTTCTGACCTTGGAACCCTATATTCTGAAGTGAGTCCTTCGCAATCGATAGATGTGACTGTGAGTTTCCTTATGTGAGTGTCACCCGCCACCCGCTTGGAGTGCAGGTACATCGGTGTTCCCGACACGGAGGCGGAGAACGTTGCCTATGCCAACTGTCTCTCAATGATGATAAAAGGACTCGTGGCTCTCAAGACTTACGATGTGAAGAACAAAGTTTGGGGCAATCCGCATGCTCGTGCGCATTTCGTGATCTTGAACGTGCTCCAGCAAAAAGTCCCGGGATTCGTCTTCGTGAGAGAAGTCGTTGACAGGAATACGAATTCGCGTAATCTCGAGCTGGCCATCGACAGGTTTGTTCGGCGGGGTCCCCACCTCCTTCCTTCTCTCACCTACTGCACCAATTCTGGAGAGCAATGCGAAGCGAAACGGGAAATGCTGATATTTTTTTCGATGACATCCCTCAGGGCGAAGCTCGTTGCAATCAGGAAACCTCTACGGGAATTCGCGCTGCGATTGCATGTATTCAAATCGACAGCTGACTTCCAATCCGCCGAGTTTCTGTACGACGAGTTCTCGGATCCCGCGTCGAGAATAGTTTCGTTGAACAAGAAATTCTCTGATATCAGACACATCGTTGACCAAGTCGTCAAGGAAAAACCACTGGTGGTTCAGCCAAACACCTTGCTCAGAGGTGAGCTGGATGCGGCACTCGGTCTCTCGCTGAATTATCCCCATATTGATGAAGGAAGCGATATTCGCTCCTCGGCTCCGCCTCTCGGAGCTCGGATGGCGCAACTCAGGAACTGAGCCCATAATGATCTCATTCCAGGCTCGGAAGCCGTTATGATATCATACGAGCCCACGGTCGAGGGCTTGTTGAGATCGTTCATGGAACGTTTCAACAAGATAGAAGAAAAATATACAATTCTGAAGGATATTTACGTCCAAGACATGCATCATTTCCCTTGGGAGGCTTCTTGTTCTTCACCGACATTTGATCAACTTTTTTCCTCCCCCTCCTCCCAAGGTACTGATGCTAAGGATTCGTAGAGAACTGATATAGCTAATGAATAAAGTGACTCAAGGGTATTCCCGAATTTTACCAAGAAGAGAAACTCTAGGCTCTATCTTCCAATTGCAGACATTACTCTTTCATTATTTTTTGTCTCCCGGGGGAACTGGATCGCGAATCCCCCACCGGAGCGATTCCTTATCAAGACGAAGACTGATCAGGCTGACTTAATTTCAAACGGTATGCTCGCACACCCCTCGTGGTTGTTATATCTGAAGCTCCCTGGCTTTTGTAGAATTTGATGCTCGGTTCGTTCCATGAGAGCACGGCGAAACGTAGGGATGAGCACTTCTCCTGCACACCATGGGCTGCGACTGAACGCCAGAGAGCGACGCCGATCCCTGGAAGAGGATGTTTCATCATCTATCTCCAGTGCTCCGAGGAATAAGAACTCTCCCCATGACACTCGACACCTTCGATATTACTAGGGTTACCTCGGTTCCGGTACGCCGGTTTGACGTACAGGTCCTCCATGTAGACGCTTCGGGAGTTTGACAGGATGTCGTGCTTGAAAAAGTAAATGCTGTAGCCGACGATGTCACATTCGCCGCACGGATCCACGATCGCCGCCACTTTGGCATGAAACCAGGGCTCGCCGTCCGCTCTGAACCCGCTGCACTTCAATTGCTCGACACGCAAGCGGACCTGATTGGGAAGTTTCTACAACTCTCAGTGGACGGCCGTCACCGTGGATTTATGTTTTTCGGACTTATTCTTAATCTAATACGTTTGAGTGTATTCGCGACCTGATCAGCCATTTTCTCATAATCAGCCAGCTCCACGATGAGGTCCAGGATTGCTTGAGTGTCGCTCTCAGTTGCTGCTCGGACTATGTAAGACACCATCGTCGGATTTTCTGCAACGGAGATGAGACTGCCTTGAACAGAATTATTGCTGGAGGTGCGCACTTTCGATCACCTGGCCGTCCATGGAACTTTCGTCAGCTGGATGCCTCTCTCCCGATGCATCCCGCTTGGGAACCCTCTCCGGGAACAACATTGGGAGCGGCGCGTTTCCAAGACGATCCGCTCCGGTGGCTCTTTGAGATTTCATCCTCGAAACGGGAGTGGGAGCGTCTCCTAGATCGACTAGGGATGGCGGAGCGTTGGCTCGACGATCGACGATGACCCCTCATTCAGATGAGGGACACCAGCCGTGGGTACCGTCAGAAAGACGGAATCGTTAGTCAGCTCTGGGTTCAGGGTTCCCTGAATACCGTAAACATTCTGAAGAGTCCACTTTGCGACCGTCCAGGACCTGCCCGTCCCTGAGAGTCTCCCCGTATATCTCTTCCTGCAACCATCGGGAAAGATGAGTCCGGTCATTCATTCCGGCTTACTATTTCTAGCCAATCGAATATGACCCTGGAGCGTACGAGAAACTCACACGAGCGAGTTGGAGACAACTTCGGCACTATTGGTGACTCGTCTCCACAGAGTCCTAAACTCAAAACTGCCTGTTCACAGCAGACTGTCCGTCTTATTCATCTGTACTCCGGAACCTGCCCGTCTTCTTGACACTGCCCGAGTACCAGAATATCTACGGCATCTCAATCCAACAGCGAAACTTTCTTAAGAATTCCGGCGAATGAGTTTCAATATCTTTCTTGACATGTTTCCATTTAGTCGCCACAGCAACCAGTCGAATGTAAAACGCTATTATCAAATAGACCGTCTTAGACTCCACGTTCTGCTGACTGCTGACCGACGATGCGGTGAACGAGCCGGATCCATATCTAGACCATCAAACTAAGGACCAGATACCAGTTCATTCGCCTGACCGTCCGTTCGATTGGCGCCTGCTTTTTTTCGAGCCGAGGAAAACTAACCCAAGGTCGACTATTTGGAAGCAGGTTGAGGGAAGTTGTCCAGTCCCTGCCGATGCGAGCGAGATTCAAAAGCGAGCGAATAGAGATCCAATCGCTCCATCCCTGAACACTTCGCTGTCTCCTCCGTGGGGATTGGTTACAGGGGATGACGAAGTTGTAGGCTTCTTTAAAGTCGAAACAGGAATCACCACGCAATGCAAAGAGGTGCTCGGTGATGACGAGATCAGAATGAGTCAAGCCAAGCCGTTAAATCTCACCAAAGAATTCTACTCTATCAGGAGATCACTCGGGAATCCCAATTCGAATTTCTCAGAACAACTGATCGATGAAGCACACCAACGCAGATTTCCGACAGCGCCCATCCGCCTGGTACACACTAATGGGAGGGATTAAACTTCTATCACACTGTTAGCATCCCGCGCCTCTCATCAGGGATTTTCCGAGCGGATGCCTAATCTCTGGTGGTAGATTCGCGGTGCCCTGTTCGTCTTGCAGGTCAATCAGCGTCATCGTTTGGCACATCCTGCTGTTTATTTTCTTTGCTGCCGCATCTGGTCTGCCGGAGTCTGTCGAGGAGATGCCCATCCCGAAAAAGCCCCCGAAGTTTCAATTCCCGGTGCATCCGTGTCCGCCGGCGAGCGAAACCCACGCTTGCTCATCTCTCCACACTTCGACCGATCTTGCCATTGTCAGATATTTCCGCATCCCGCCTGAAACACCCTGCAGCGAATTTCCGAGCTGGTGGCGAGGTTTCTGGTAGATCTCAAGGGACTGGGGTTATCTATCTCTTGGAAGACTTCCATGTGATAGCCAGACGGGGAAGCTGATCGAGCGGAACTGTTCTCTGCCTTTCCAAACCACTCCTCCGACCATCGCTGAATTAACTTTGGACTTTCTCCCGGCGTTCCAGCTCTTGCTCTTGAGCATAAACGTGATCTAGCGGTCTCGCGTCAATTTCATCCGAGTATCGTTCCTTCGAGCTAGCATACGTTCTCGAACCCCGCCGCATCGAGACCCGGCGAAAGAGTTTCTTCCTTTTCCAGGGAAGCGTATCGCACCGAAGCTTCTGTGAGTGACCCAACTTTTCGAAACAACGGGGATCGACCAGTGGGACTTATCCGCTTTCCAAGAATTCAGCATTCTGGACATAATCATAGGCGAAGAGTCTTCTTCCCCCCGTTTGAACATCGCCGAGTACGGTGAAAGATATTCGAAAACGTGAGCCCGATGTGAATTTGGGTTTGGTACGAATATTTCCTTGCATAGCGAGAACGCGGGAATAATTTTCTTTCATGCTCACGACGTGAAGAGCACAGCTCACGGAGCGCTCGCGAGACTGCTTCTTTCGACGTCGTTTAGGGTCAGTTCTAACTCAGCAGTGTCTATTCAGCATTGGCGTTACTGCTGAGTCTAATGCTAATTGCGGATGCTGATACCGGAACGTCTTCTTATGCATAATATGTAGATCACTGGGACACAACTCAGGGTTTACGAGAGAAATGTCCTCGCAAGGCCCAAGCTCCGTCTTTTTCAGATTGACCTCGTTGACTTCCACAGGATTCGCGTCGATTGGTCGCCTTCCGCGCTACACCCTTCACATCGGACGTATGAGCGGACAATCCGTATCTCTGACAGCGAGCCTACTCGGAAGTCGAAAACGACAAGCAAGTTGGCACCTTCTAGCATTATTGATTCCCGGGAAGCCATTCCATTCCATTGCGATTGACGCTTGGCTTGGCTGAGAGCTTCCGACGCGGAGGAGCCGTCGATTTTCGGTGACTAGGCACTAGGCGGAAATGACACGTTCGGGGCTCGATTCCGTCCAAGGGGAATTTTTGCATAAATTGGAGAATATGGGTTCCGGATGCACCTATCCCATGATCTGTCGCTAGGTACGCACGGAATCGATTCGAGCTCTCCGAATGCCGTCGACAAATCCTTCAAGAGCGAAATTGCATGATCATAGTTGGATCTTCTGAATTCGAGATCTTAGAGAATTCAAGCCTGTAATAATGAATGATTTCCCCGCTTGTACACTTAAGTCCTGATTATTCTCACGAGAAAGTTGGTTCCACCCCGCGTATTCCTGATAATTTCCCCGGGAGTAATTGGTGTCGGCTAGAATCTCGCCTGGAGTCACTTCGCAAGAATGATCCGCATCTCTGACTGCCTAGTCCTGTGTTTCCCAACAGTTTTTCCCCAGAGGCCCACATTCGGAGTACGGAAGCTGTCCATGGCCCACCAGCGAACACAGAATATTTGAGGGAGCAGACATCTCAGAGAAAGCAAAATGACGTTGACGAGAAAAAAGGTCCGAAAGCAAATCATTGGCAAGGGTGATCTCCCTGTACGAATTCAGCTTTCGACGCATCTCGCTATGAGCCTTGAATCGATAGTACGGAAGACCCGGAAGTCCCGTGACCCCCTGGAAAACCGCCGTGACCCACCGGTGGGGCACTCGCCCGCTTCGGAAACACAGGCCTAATCGATTCGAGATGGCTCAGCCTCGTTGAAAATTTCGAAGAAACTGACTCGAGCCGAACGAACAAGACATTAAATCACTTCAAGTTTTGTTCATAAGGATCAAGGAAGGTTCTCGAACGCGCGTGAAGAGCCCGAATCTCTCGAGTCCGATCGCTCTGGCGACAGGTAGCAGAGCGTTTCACTTCACCTGAAGCTGATTGTCCCGGACCGTCTTCAGGCACGTCTCACGCTTCGTCCTCCGCTCAGCAAGAAGCACAGAACTGAGAGCAGGGACCGACTTTCCGGATGCACCTACGGTATTGCGTCTCCGTTCGAATCTTTTCAGCGGTCGGTTAAATACAGAACGCTATCGACAACAAGACCGTCTTAGGTTTCGTGACATGCTGACCCACACTCCGCCGAACAGACTGGAACTTCTGCCCGGCTACCGGGCCGAGGAGTTGATACCAGGTCGCCGGCGAGTTCGATTATCGCTATGTTCATTCGGGCAAACTCAATCAAGGTCGGCCGCCGTAATAGAAAGGAGCTGCCTAGTCTCGTATCATCAGCTCTAGACTCAGAAAATGGAAAATTTCCACGATATCGACGAGTATCGGTAACGTCGAATCACCCTTGATTGGCCGAGCTGATGTCTGAGCTCCACCCGACGAGCTCTCACGCTCAACGACCGAATACATGAGCCCGGAGAAATGTCGGAAGGATCTCAGAGAATTTAGAGAATGTTTTCTCAAGGCAGTCGACCCTTCCGAGTTCCAGGAATCGCATATTCCTGGAATCGGACATTTTTCCCATAGGTGGTGTTACAATTATTGACTCGAGCACGAATTCGTTGCTCTGAATCAGACGCTTCCAGTCGCTGGTTGAATATTCAACTCGGCGTCGGGAACGATTAAGACAAAGCCTGACGTGTGTTCGCTTATCTGAGGCAATGATTAGAAGAATCCGCGAAACTGGAAGAGTAGTCGCATTAATCTGAAACCACTTTGCGCTCTAGCAAATCCCCCGCCTCTCTTCGTGGATCTTTTAATGGAGGCGTAATCCCTTGTAATAGATACAAATGCGATGCCCCGTCCGTAGTCGGGGTCAATCGGCTCCATCATGCTGTACGTTCTGCTGTTCGTGCTCGGTGCTGCCACAGCGGCTCCGTCAGAAGCCGTCCTGGGGGAGTCGGCTCCCCAGGAGCCTCCGGAAGCCGAAGTTCCGATCCTCCAGTGTCCTCTGGCAAGCGAAACTTACCCTTGTTCATGTCTGCATGTGAGGGCCGACACTGCCGATGTCAGATGCTACGAAATTCAACCGTCGACCAATTTGCAAAAGATCTTCGGTCTCGTTTCGAAATTCCAAGTAAGTTCAAGAGTCACGTCCGAGTCAGGGTTCCATCATATCGATTATTTCCCTCTCGGAAAGGGAATCGGCTCATAGGGGAATTCCTGGTCTGTGCTCCTCTCGATCTCCTGGCGGATTGCTAGCGAATGAGTCAGATCTCGTGATTCGAGCAGCTGATGACCACCACTCGGGATGTTTGCAGATCAGCTACCTGACCATCGCGGACTCAATTCTGGATCATCTGCCTGCCGAAATTCTGCTGCCCCTAGACATCAGCGTCATCAAGTTGTCTCGCGTCAACTACACCAGGCTCTCGTTCCTGAATGACCTCGCCCGCATTTATCCCGTGCCCAGACTCCTATATAGTCTATATTCGATCGAAGTTGACCGGGTACGTGGTATTTTCACCGATTTCAATGAAGCATGAATCATTATGGGCTCTCTGGAGAGGGCTGCAGGTGTGGAGAAAGAAGTATCTACCGCGAACATTTTCTCGTGGTTTGAGATCTCGATTTCGAATCCTACAGGCGAGGGGGATTGACAAATGGGACTGGTCCGGCTTCCAAGGATTCAGTGCTCTTGATCGAGTAATAATCAGGGAGTCTTCGTTCCCTCGATTGACGAAGTCCTTCGGCAGCTTGCCCAACACAGTGACCGAGATCAGCTTCGAGGATGTGAGACCCTTGCCGAGATCCGATTCATTCGAATAATTAATTTCTCCAGTAATGAGGCTGGATGTGCCTGCTTCCCAGATACGCGATATGGAGAGCATAGCGTTCGGAGCCCTCGCCAGACTCCACAACTTAACGACATTGAGGGTCAGTTCATGCTTTTTGTGAAGGGCGAAATCGTGCGATAAAGGAGGTCCTCACTCTGTCACATGTCTGCAATCTTTCAGATCAAAGGCACTCCGCTCGACGTTTTCGAGAGAAATGTACTCCCGACGCCTGCGGCGAAGCTTCGGGTGCTTGACCTCTCTAAGAATCGTCTGAAGTCGCTACCGCTCGATTTCCTAAATGAGATGCCTGCTCTGCAAGTTCTTTCGCTCAAAGAGAACCAATTGGCTTCGTTGGCTGCGGCGACATTCGCTCCCATCAGCCTGCGGTCAAGACTTCAGCTCAACCTGGCTCGTGAGTATGCGGAAAATGGAACGGTTGACCTCGTCTTCGGCTGATCTGTGAGCGATTCCTTCCCCGCGATTCCTGCGTACAGGATATAGCGAATTCCCGCTCAAAAGGAACACGTCGCGGATCAGACGATTTTGATCCGAATAAGCGGAGAATACGACTATCCCGAACCAGAATCAATTGAGCCCAATCGATCGAGACTCCTTGAGAGCGATCCGATTGAGCGGAGGTTCCCACTTCGGTGGGACGTGTTTTGATTGAGCGGAGTTCACTGCATCGCGTTTTGAGAATTCGCTGCGACCTTTCCAGGTAATCCATTCAACTGCGACTGCAACCTCTCCTGGCTGAACTTACTGTTCTCGAAAAACTCGGCAATCTTCGGGACTGATCTTGAGATGCAGTGTTCGGAGCCTGCGGCTCTCAGAGGAGAGTTCCTGCATGCCCTGGAGCCCAAAGACTTTCAATGCCCTAGATCCTATAATTTACTGCCTTTCCAAAGAGCATACGATTCTAATCTTCTGGAGTTTGAAGCTGAACGCATTCCCCAGCCCGCGTTCTTGAGTCAAGCGGAAGGTAAGTATTGATCAGTAGGACTTGACACAATCTCAGCAAAAAAAAATCGATCCTGGAACAGAATAAATCAATTCGCTTGCACTCATTCTGTTGGATTCTATCCACGCCTGAATTTCTCCCCGACTGACACCACGCGAACTGTCAGTAAGAATGGATTCTTCGGAAGAATTTGATTCCTGTGTTTCCGGCTGGTCAATGGAATCCCCTTATCTCCCCACGGAGGAATTTCCGGGAAGTCCCCGCTCGGATCCGTGTGCAGCTGTTGGGTGGGTCAACGAGTTTCTGAATGGATCATGCGAGGACCGCTAACGACTGCCGCAATTTCTTGGCATTCATGCAACGATTCCGTGAGAGTGTATTGAGGATTTCCGCCTAGAAATCCTGGAAGCGGTCGGTGGAGCTTTTCGGTGGACTTAGGACATATCGTCCCGTAGAACCGTAGAATAATCTCAATTTTCTTTTTCGTTCTTTGACTGCAATCCAGCAGCTCGCGGAACCATGCTGACTGTGGTCATAGGCGACCGCGAGCTAAGAAGAAGCACAAATATCTTGATTATACCAGAAATGTTTCATTCGATGCGATGTCCTTGGGCAATGGGCTGTTCCGCGGGGCAGCGGAACCCGTGTCATGAAGTCATGAGCAAAATGCTTCAAGAAATCGCCTCAGTGTATATCCGACAATAACAGCAACCATAACAGAAATTGAAATGTCAGTCATAATCGCACACCGTGTAACACAATCGTCCAACGCCGACCGAAGGTCTCGCATCTATTCTGGAGATTGACGGGTATGCTTATCCCTGAATCAGCGGAAATTTTCCTCCGTCAGCGTCGCTGAAGATTCGGAAATGAGGTGCTCGAGGTATTGGGGGCAGGTGGGTCATTCTGGTTTTGTGCACACGACCTTGCCTTTGAGGAAATTGTCTCTCAATGAAAGTCGCGAAATTTTTCCGTTCCCGGTTTTCGGAACTTGATCCCACGAGCAGAAGTAAACCCCACCGTAAAGATGTTTATAAATCGATGTCAGCTTCCGTACTCTTTCTCTGAGTTCAGCCGACAAGGCAGCGTCGGCTAGGAAGCCAGGCCGAACCGTGACGAATGCCGTCGGGGCTTCTCCCAGCTCATCGTGGGGCACCCCGATCACGACAGCCTGTTCTACGGCCTCGTGTTCTCTCAAGATCTCCTCCAGCTCTCCGGGAGACAAGGTGTCGTCCATGCAGATGATGATCTGCTTACACCGATCCACGAGATGGATCGATCTATCATCAGCACCGATATAGGCCAAGTCTCCGGTTCTCAACCAGCCATCGGCTTCAATGTTCCGGGATTCTGCGGTTTCGTTGAGGTAGCCGACCATGAGCGAGTCGCTCTTCAGCATCAGCTCACCCACGCTTCCGTCTGGGAGCTCTTCCCGGCTGTTCATGTCGACGATCTTGATGGAGACATTCGGAAGCGGGCGACCGGCACTGCATTCCATGTCTCGACTGTTCCCAGTGAAGGAAACCGCGAAGTTCTCTGTCATTCCATAATTGTTCGAGAAGAGACAGGGACTGAAGAAATCAGACATCAATTTTGCGAATTTCGGTTGAAGGACCGATCCGCAGAACATCATCAAACGCAGAGATTTCATTTGATCTCTGTATCGTGGGAACTGTGGCGCAGTCGCCATGATCGCTCTGCCGCTAACTTCGAGTATGATGGCGACGGTTATTCGATTCCGCTCGACGATCTCCGGGAAGTTTATCTTCACGTCCGTCCTGGCTAGAACCACAGTACCACCAACGTTCAGGGTGATTTCCGAAAAAGACACCTCGAACGCGTAGAACAGAGAGGTAGCCAAGAGATAAACGTCTCCGTCCTGGAATGTTTTCGGTCCTCTGATGATCATTTCTGATTGTCCCGTGAGGCTCTTGACCGGATGCTTCGCTCCCTTGGGTTTTCCTGTGGTGCCAGATGTATACGTGATGATCGCGATGTCCTCTGCCGCGCTCTTGCACTCCGGCGGCGTCCACGTCGTGTCGGTTTCGAGGAGGTCGTCGAATAGAACGACGTTCAAACTGTCAGCATACGGTTCCAGCAGCTCTCGATTGCCGAAGAAAATTACTTTGGTCCGAGCGACATCGGAGTATTCTTTGAACGTGTCGCTGACGAGCGTGACCGTTTCGGGGTCACATAGAATGTATTCTACTCCCGAGTCGCGAACTTGATACACGTATTCCCTCGTCGTCATTTTTTCGTGAGGGCGACAGAGGACAATCGATGCATTCGCGAATTTCAGCGCTTGCATCGTGCAGAAAGCTACGATCGAATCCTTGAGGAAATACTGCACCTTCATCTGGGCTTTCACGCCTCCGCCTTGGAGACAGCCCGAGATCTTCTTCACGTATGCCAGGAAATCTGCATATTTCAAACGTTCACCGGTCAGGTTGTCGACGAGAGCCGTTCGCTCGGGGTGTCGACTCCACAGGCGTCCGAAGTACTCGTGCAACGGCTCTGATGGGATGACAATGTCGTCGAAGTCCGATTTGAGTACCATTCTGAGTACGTTAAGAGAACGGGGACAACGGTCAACAAGTTACGGAAATGCTTCTGGGAGTTTCAGTCAGACGCAAGACAACGTCGATCAGACCGATGGCTATTGTGGAGAGTGAAATTTCTGCGCCTCTCTTATCGGTATGCTTTCAGACTTCCTACGGAACCCATCAGAAAGAATCGCGTTGGAAATCACATTCCAACCGCTGACGATGGTGCCAGTAGTCGTCCACACGTCAGACGTGGATTGTGCGACCGAAGAGGCGATTTGAAGAGTCGCGAGCGACGTGTACTTGCTTTCCTTTGCATCCGGTGACGGCCTCGGGAGAGGCAACGAACAGAACCCGCCACAAGCAAGCCCAGATCGAGTTTCTCGTTCGGAGATATTCGGACCAATCTCGCCTCAAAGATTTCGATTCCATGCGGACATTATCGAGGGTCTCCCCAGGCGGCTTTCCTACGAGATAATTCGAAGGCGGGTACAGGCTCTCGGATATGGTTTTTCTCTTCGTTGAAAAAAAATCGTTCCATCTCTAGAAATTCCCAAACCCGCTCGAATGAATGATCGGGAGAAGCATAGGTTGTATCGGTGCCCAACTCGTTCAGGGGAGACCGAGCTGGGCTTCGGTAGTTCAGAAACGAGACGGCGTTAAGTAGATGCGGAGTTTTATTCAGTCCTACACCCGAAGCATCGCATAGCATGCTCCGCACGTAAGGTTCCGCATTTTCGATTTCCTGGAGAAGGTTGGCATCCGGAAGGAAAGTAGAGGGTAAATGGCGTAGGAAGATTAGTTCGGCAATTCAGGAATCTGGTTTCTTTCTGATAGCTCCCCGTGAGATGAGGACAAGTTTACGAGAGAAAGGCTCCAACAACTTCGCCTGAAGTCGCTAGGAACTCCCGGACCAGCGGGATTTCAGAATTTCTCAGACATCGTGAGTAGTATCTGAGGCAAGATAAGTTGCTACTATAATCAATATTATAATGAGAATCTTGGTTGGTATATTACTTGATGTGAGCTGACTTCATCATATACGGAGCTAGGCCTCGTTCGCCATCTTCTGGTTCGTATCAAACAAGTTTCCACCTCTTCGCCAGTTCTCTACCGACATTGCATCGTGAATAATAAGTCATCCTTAACATCATTCGATTCAGCGGCAAGACCCTTGGTCGAGACTCGGTCGACGCACGCATAGAGAGCGAGGAAAGAGCAATAATTCCTTTCGTCGTCGGGGCTGCTCCCCTCCCTCCGGGGACTGCTCGTCTAGCGAGAGAGAATTCCCTGAATATATGCAAATATACGGAAGTGAGTCGCCTTCCGGTTTGAGGGGGAAGAGAACAGACCTAGGCTGAGAACTGCCATCTTCACGCATTTCAGTTACGACGATCAGCTCGAATGCGTTCGCAGCTGCGAGCTGTGTCCTCATCTGCATGATATTTACACTGAGCATTCGTTGTAGGATGATAAACACAATGTCTTCTTGACTGCACCACGGATCAAGTTAAGGTGATTTGATGATGAGCTCATTTTCCATAACCTGCCTAAACATTGGCCTGCGGCGTTGCCAGAACGTCGTCTCTCACTCGAATGAGTCTATTACAGCAGCGGCTGCCGTCGGATCGCTGACTTGCCCGACTGGATTCTCACGGTATCCGACACAAAGCGCCGATCGGGTCCTGCGGGCCGACATTGACAAATTTCGGAGCAATTTCCCGCTAGGTACGCAGAATATTCGTGGCTTGCGAACTCCCCCGCTTGGCGTCTTGCGTCAGGTTCAATTGATATCGGAGGGGGAAATTGTCATCTTGATCCGTCGACGGTGGCGGCCTCCGCTTCATCCTGTTCTCTTGTCCTTTGGTATGCGCTGATACACTTTTGATCGCCTACAGTTGGCGTTCACAAGCGCGACATGGTCCCGTCGTCCTCCATCATATCATCTTTGTCGCTTAAGAACGATGCCTCATATCTGTCGAACAGAACAACAAGCACCCGTTAGAAGGAAAGAAAACACCACGACCGAAGACGACAAAAATCTCTTAGAGAGAGCTGTTCGGGACAGCCGGCTTTCAGACACCGGAGATAGTTCGAGAAACAACTACATGGCACAACGGAACGGGGGAACTGGATCTCGGATATTGCGGGAGACTCTGGCGTGACCAGAGGAGCGGGAGAACCGATTGGAGTCGGAAATGTATATGTCGCGATAAGTCGGACGATGCGATACGTCCCGAGTATACAATATGTGCGGTCCGTGTGCATGGCCGAAAACATTCCGAGAGAGGGAAGGAGGACTGAGAAACGGGGCAGAGGACAGTTCGTTCCCTCTCTCCCCCGCGAAGCTGAATTTTTAGGGAATGTCCTGGGGGAATCGGATGCGCATACTGTGCATTAGTCAGTCAGGTGCAGAAGGGAGTGTCTCCCATTCGATGAGCAGTAGGAGAAAAGCGGATGACGGCGGAAAAAAAAACATAATAACTCATAAAAATATATTCGAACCTTTAATTCAAGGGTATCCTCGCTCTTAAGTGATATATCTCATATAAAGGGAGTAGAATGCCTAACCCAGCTCGCTTTCTGTATCACCCTTGTTCTTCCCGCGACTTCGCTTCAATATTACAAGGACTGAGGTTGCGGGGATTTCGCTTGAGCTCGAGTCCATGCCCGCGGTGGGAGACTCGCGAATGAATCGCTTGGTCCTCGCCTTTATCTACAGTGATGATATGCTGACTTTAGACAGGCTTATATAACTTATTGCATACACACGGTGAGCTCGCACTGGTTTTCTTGATCCCGGCACTCTTTATCTCCGCCATGAACATCGAGCGTTTCATTCATTCTTTGTACAAAGACTCGGAGCGAGTGAGTGCCTCGTCGCCTATCATTGTTCTTCGAGTTATTTGGCCGTGTTTTCCCTCGCAATGATCGAACTTGGCCGGACTCTGCCCCTCATCTAGACCGTTCCTGGCTTTTTCTGTGATGAGAACGATTGAATTGGCTCCTGATGATGAATGTTCACATCGATGCGACTCTAACTAACACCTCATTAACAGTGATTGCTACTTGATTTGGTTTCGAGCTCTGGCTGTTCGGGCATATTTGTAGCTGGACTACTGTTCGTACCCATCTTCGATGAGGGCTCCGTTCCCTATGGGGGTTCCATTCGGCTTGGACGGTGTGACCTCCTTGGCCTCCTCGAGCTGTAATAGAAAACGTGATATGAGTTGCAATTTTCCGGCTGAATCGAGGATTACACGCGGATTCCACAAACTACGGAGAATAATCACTTCAGTCTTTCTCTGTATCTCTGAATCCAGCGCTTCCGTCTCTGGATCCATCTGAACGGGAGTTTTGACGCGGCGAACCGGACGCATGAGGCGCCTGGTGGCAGGGTCAGACCGCCATGCGGAAATCGATCGCAGTTTGGGTCGACAGATCGATATGTGCACGCTGCGGGCTAATGGTCGTCGACAATCACAGCGGCGAATGAGCATCTTTCCTGTTGCATAATGTCCTCGCTGCGGCGATGATACACAGCGGACGCCCTAATGATGTACCGATGTGTACACACACATTTACGCAAACAGATACTAAATAACCACTTTCTCCCCGCGACGACGATGACTGGCGACGAGTTTACTGTCAACACGTAACGTCGATATTCCTCACTATCCAAGAGAGCCCGGCGGCCTTGAATGCAACTCCGGGATTCATGATAGATGCGCGATAAGCCGAAAATTTCCAGACATACTTCCGTGGCCGCTCGCGAGGCGGGTCATAGATGAAGGACTACTAAATGGAATTTCGATCGAGCATGGACTCGACGGTCTCGACAATCCCGATGAAGAGGAAAACGTAGAATGGACGAGCTAGCGGTATCGAACCTGATCTAGTTTGTCGACGAACCGCGTGATTTGGAAGTTTCTCTGCGAACATACCTTGCTGGTGTCTGCGTATTGCTGCAGAAGCTCCGCGATGAACGACAACGGATCCGGAGGTTTCTCTTGCATTTCGTAGAGACGTGCCAGCGCTGGAAACGAGATGAGCATAATGAGTTGAATTCTTCTCCAGATAAGGCGACTAGGATGGGAGATCTTGTAAACTGATTGGTGGGTCGGCGTCGATCCTTCCATTTTACGATGAGAGATTCGCTTTCACCGGCGCGCAATCCTCAACCAGATAATAATCTGAGATGGCTTCATCGATTACGCAGCACAATCGATCGGGCGGCTTTCAAATCAGCGAGCATGACGTCAGACGCGAACGTCAGCCCACCGGCTAAGTGGGCATTGTCTTCGACGCTGCCATAATTTACCCCTGGTCTCCCCGATTGATTCGGTAGGAGTATCATCATTCCAATGAGAATAAACTTCTACTCTGACAGAAAAAGACGTTCACAGACAGAAGGAGGATCCACCGCTTGAGAGACCATCAGAGCGCGCGTGAAACAGCGAACAAGCGCCATATCGTTGGCCACCCAGCCGTTCCCCGACACGGTGCGTTCGATACTTGCTCAGCTATCCGTGTCTGTCGGCACAACAGGCAAACCCATCCGCGAAGTCATTGCAACAAGAGGAACGGAAAATGACCGGAGTCGCTCACATGAAACCTGACGTCAAACTTTCGACCCCGATACAGAACAGAATGGGGATATGATGCTTTCAATGCTCATGGATATGTATTCTGCGATTCCCGGTGGGTATGGGTGCGTATTCCTCAAGTACGTGGATCGCAAGAATCTTTCAAGTCTTCTCGTCGTATGCAGAGGGCGCATCTGCTTACTCCTGTCGCTGCTGGTGCTGCTGAAGGAACCGGCCATTGGAAGACCGTTCAATAAAGTGTGGACTCTTTGAAGAGAAGGTGTCAATGGTGTGCGTTTGATGACGCCGCAGCCGCCGAGCATTGGTAGCTGTTGGCAACGACTACGAGCTGATCCCCCTCTTAGCGCTTTGCTGAGCGTGTCGCTCGCGATAGCCAAAGAAGAAGCACGTTGACGACAAGGAACAAAAATCGCCGTCGCCGATCATGGCTACGTTCAATCTCACGTATCTGGACGTAAAACTCTTGTGAGCCTTCTATGTGGTTGGAAAGTGAAGAACACTTTGCAAGTGCACTAAAAAGTCTCATGAAATTCCACTCCAGAAGAGACATAAAACCGCGACGCCTGGTGTTCTTCGAATGATAAAATCGAAGCAGCACAAAGATTATTATCAAGGAGTATTCGGCTTCGTTCGTCAGCTGCGAGCAGCGAAAACTCTTTTCACTGTTCGCGTCCCGTATCAGGTCCGGAAAATGAGAAGACGACATCTGCCGATAGGGAAAGCTCAAACTCTTTGGAATGAGCGCGCGCCGATCGGAATGAACCGAATTTTCGGGCGGTTCTGATCTATCAGCAGAAGAGCTACTCAGTGAGCGAGGCGGCAACTGAAAACTTTCTTAACGACCGCGTCTTCCGTTTGTCAACGCGGGCTTCAGCAGAAGCTCGTTAGGAGCTTCGATGAAACCGGAGCCGGCGACAGCAGCATTCCCGAGCCGCGCATATGCCGCCGATGTCGACACGGGAAGTATAGCTCACTCTTCTAGCAGCGGCAGCAAACAGATAATCGGTCAGCTCCCACCAAGTGAACATTATCGATGGTGACGGCAGTGATATCGCGCGATCCTGCATCCAGTCGAGCCACGAAACACCAGTCGAGTGAAAAAGGAACCAGCACCACGCTGCCTCGAATCATGCCTGAATCGATTCATTTCCCCTAGCTCATGGAAAACAGCATCAAGTCGCGGGTTCATCGGTGTAAAAGTGTCTTTGATTCAAATTTTCATTTTAACGATCCGACTTTATCGGGATCCACCTCTTTCTTTCCAGCAACGGTCGACAATCGGTTTGTGTCATGCAATTCTCATGGAAAAGTCCTCTTTGGAATCAGATGAAATTCGAGAATGACCCATGAACTGTCGCCAGACCGAAGAGGAATAACTATTCTATACGGAATACGATTATTGAGCTGACGATGAGCTCGAGACTATTGTGGCTGTAGTATGTCGCATACAAGGATCACTCCGTCTTGCTTTCGTTGGAAACCGTCCACTGTGGATGTGCTGAAAGTAGCACAGCCGCGACGTCTCCGATTTCGTCCGGTTTCGCGCGAACCCGGCATTCCGCAAAGTCGACATTCAGTCGTAAACAAAGCAAAACGATGACTAGAATCACTTGATAATTGGCTTAAAAGAAAAGCGAGCAGCGATGCGAGGGATCCGACGTGTGACCACGTCGGGCATCGAGTGCTACATTCAGTCGCGGTCAGCCTTGAGGAGACTTCTGAGAAAAGCGGTCAATGATGAAACTTAATTCGTAATAGCGCTTCCTCGCTGTCTTCCTGTTTCTCGTCTTCTGCTTTCTGGTATGTCGACAGCTTCTGGCTCTAACGACCCTCTGGTGTCAGCATTCCGGCGAGGCTCGAAGAAAAAAACTTCTAAATTTCGCTCAGTGCGACGGAACGACATCAGCGGAGGCATCACCGATCAGCTTCGGCTTCGAAGAGAGCGTCAATCACAGCGGCGAAGGATTCTCACTCATTCACTGGATTTCTTGATCTTTAAATTGAGACTCGCCGCCTTGAAACTCGTCAAAGAATGAAGACCCACTGTTAATTTTTATTTTTATTCCCGCACGGTCTCCAAATACTCTGGGAAATGGGCTATTATGGAGACGAGGCAGGCACCGCCTTCTAAGGGTTCTTGCATGTCTGCTTAATCTCAAACTTGGGATGAGTGGCACGTTCCTCTGAGCGAGAGAGCGGCCACAGAACACGAAACGCAAGATGATGGTCGAGAGGCGATATGAGGCGTTCTCAAAGTCCCAAGCCGAGCGCAGTCTCACAGCGTTCCCTTGAATAAGCTCGCCGGGGACTGTCCAAATAAATTGGATTATCTGCTAGAGATCCACTCCGGTCATCAGGTGATATCTTTGTAACGCAATCCTTGCGAGATTTTAGGGGATAGGGATCGATGGCCAAAATTCCAGAGAATGGGGTGCTCAGGAACTGATGTACAAGCAGTTCGCGGTCGATGAGCTCTCATAAGCGGAATACCGGAAACGCCGGGGTGTAGTTCCTAGTCTGTCAAACAGATGACGAAAGTTCCTAACTTTGATCTTCCGCTGAATTCGTCGTATTCCTGGCCTTGGATCCGAAAGTGAATCGACACAATTATCCCAACAGACCACTTTCATAGCGGATATCATGAACATGTGCCACGGCAAAGTGGGTCGAAAGCTCAGGCAGTCCTTCACGGTGCGATATTCTCGATGAAATCTTAAGTCACCACTCCGAATTCTGCGTATCCATGAACTAGCTCGAGTGGCTGGTTTGCTTTGAGTGTTCCTCAAAGCTTTTCCTCGTTTTCTTTCCGTGCGTTTCCCCCGCGTTTCTGCACAACAATGACACTGGCGATCATTACCGTCACAACACAACGTCAACCGTTACACTTCACCTCGACCCGATGCGCGGGCAGACATTCTTCCACGAAAGTGAAGATCTTTCGCTTGCGTTCCCAGCTCCAATTGGGTTCACCGGAGAATCGTCGCTGTGATATTCGATCTCAGGCGCCCGAATTCCAGGAGTGTCGAGAGACTCCCTGCTAGAACACGGGATTTCCGGAGAGAATCCGAAGGGTGACCGATAACTTCAGGAATCCATATCCTAGGGGAGCGATCGAATCCCTTCGCTTCGAATTGGAGACCTGCGCTCCGGCAGGAGGGACCAGAACAGTCTCATGATTCTGACCATGACATCGGACCCCTCGAGGAGAATCGGACGGAACGTCAAAAAGCCGAGTCATTATTGTCCGACGACCAATGTCCTCGTCTTTATGACCGGATTGAATGTCCAAGATAGGGGAAGGAGCTTTACAAGGTATCGAAGCTTTTTCGGAGCGAAATGACATCGATGGTTTCGAGACTCCGGAGACAATGATTCGCTCAGCAGGGAGCCCTCCTGTGGAATGTCCCGTCAAATCTACCCAGTCGCTCACGGGTGAAGAAGATCCTAATCGAGCTTCTTTCGTTTGTTATCGCCAGTAATGCTCGGTCTTTCATGAGAGGCCGACATTTCGAACACGCACCACCCCTCGAGGCCCCCTCCATTAATCGAGCGGGAAGGACAGATGAACTACTTGTTGTCTGCTTTCTCGGGGTGTGACCAAAATCGAGTCAATCCAAGCGGAGAATTAGGAAACCTCCGGAGGAATCTCGACGTCGAGCGTCTGTCGTGTCTCGAAACGAATCCCGAGCGAAGGAAAGGCGCATCTAAGCGGGCTCCGTACGAATCTAGGCAGGCTTCCGAAAGATCCGGATATCGAAGAATACGAAAGAGGCCATTAGTATAAGGTTCTACCAATGTCGGGGCTTGACAAGATACATACTTCATGAGCAGACTTTTAATTTGGCACAATTCCAAACATTGACAGATCGCCGACACTTAACGCTTACTTCGGGTCTGAACGACGTCTACCGCTGTTTTTTGGCGGGCTGACTTGCTCCCTCTTTCTACGCCGATAAACTCTCTGAGCCAGTCAGTCAGTCGGTCGGTGGATCTATCAATCAGCCGAAGGCACCGTCAGATATTTCGCATGTTTCTGGCTCGCATGTTTCGATCGACCCGGCGAAATTATTACTAGCTTTCTCAATGACGAATCCATTGAACCGAAATCGATGAGCAGCCGCGCCGCTTCTCGAATCGACTGACAATGATGCGCATCATGCTCAGGCCCGAATAGATTGAAATTATGAATCAAATCGGGGTAAGTCAATACTAGCCGCCAGAACTAATTCTTCTGCATTCCGATTCTTCGCTTCGCGTAGTCCCAAACTTCAGGATGTTATCGCTCAAATAATGGCTAGCGGGTGATTCCGGACACGCTAGCTGGATTTGAGCACAAACACGCCATTACCGCAGTAAGGATGTTCTCACGTTGGATCCGACGAATATTCTATCCGTGGTGATCTAACAATTATTACTCGGGTCGCATGGCATCCGAAAAGGAGATTCAGGCGGATGATGTTTCCGAATCAATACTCAGATTGTCACTCATCTCGCTTTTCGTCGGGCGATGAATGGTATCCCCAAGCGGGATCCAACTCCCGATTCGGAGATTCCGCTTTCTCGTCTCAGCAACTTACGCACCGTCGATTCCTAAGGACGGCGGACTGAATTTTTGCCAAGTCATGCCGAAGAACGAGCCCTCAATCAATCCGGGTGGAGATTCTGAACGCGAGAGTCACATGGAAATAATGACGGTATTGTTCATCCCCAAGGAGCGATAGATCCGCAGGAATCCGGATGAGAAGCCGGGGAGAGCAGTTGACATCGATGGGGATTTCCTCAGCGATGGCTCACATCCCTGTAGCGGCGGGAGTATCAAGCAGCAGGCTTAGGTCGGTAAATCATTCATAATCAAGTCCTGCATTTTGAAACAATCTATGAGACATTTAAGCCCGCTGCGATATGGACGACAATCATCGCTCGTCTGGAAATAACCCAACTCGGACAATGGAGCAGCTCGTGTGCCATAGTCATGTACCAGAGCCATGCTATTCGAGTTAGCAGCGCTGGCCACCGCACTGCCGACAAATTCCATGCCACCAACCGGAACTTCTCTGTGGATCACTGCCGGTTTTCTCAATAGCGCGATGTAATCGCCATTCCCGCAGAGGATTGCGGCTACCATGCGTTTTTATGATCTCTCATCATTCCGAGCCGTCCGAATCGAGAGTAGCTGTCGCGTGTCTAGAGTTTTTCACTCCACCGTCCACACTCCTCCGCGATGTGAGACTTTGCCTCGAGAAAATCCGCTAGACGCCAGGAATATCTTGGATTTCCCGTAATCTTGGTGCGAGGTTTCGAGACTTCCCCACATGCGGTAGCTTATCTCCTCTAATCCAATAAGGCGGCGAACAATGAAGACGCCGGCTCCTCGGAGGGGCCTGATCTCGAGGATCCTCAGAGAACAACCCCAGCAGAGGAATGCCCGAAGCCATCATATGAGCGGCATGGATACAGCAGCACAGTCAAGCTGCCGGTCACTTCTGGTATTCCAAAAAAAAGTCCCCCTCAGACTCGCGCGGCCCGGGACGAACTCGCTCCGGAAATGGACGGCTCGCTTGCGGATAAGTAGCTGAACTCGAGCAGCCGGCCATGAAGACCCGCCCACGGTCCGACTGCATGGGGCGGATGCAGGAATCCTCCGGAGGGAGCGCAGTGGGGCGGTCAGCTCAAGGGGCTCAAGCAAGGGGCGGGTTGATGCCCCGGATCGGCTTCAACATGGGCGATGTAGGCTGTGGGAACCCTTGAGAGGTTCTCCCTCTGATCGGCCGCTGGGTCAGACAGAGATGGGAAGATCCCGCGCGACAGCTTGAAGGCCGCCAGACTACTGAGAGGACAGAGAATGGCGGGAATCCTGATGCGAATTTTCCGTAAACCTCTGCGATTGAGAGGACGGATGACCAGCTGTTACGATCCGCTGGCCTTTCGAGGAGAACTGAGCAACAAGCTCTTTCTTTCGGCGACAGTCGCTGCCTCGATCTTGCACTTGGAATACTACGCACAGGGAGACGGAACTCCCGACAATTATGAAGGAATTCCCACGTTGAGACTTGCACATATTCCGCACATCAATGCCATTCGGGCCGGCAATCACCCAGCTCGAAATGAACTCTCACGATCGCGAATGACAACAAGCACTTTGTTTCACCGGCGCACCAGATGCGCAAAGCCCTTATGATTGAAGGAGCTTGATTTTCGCGAGATCGGGTCACTTAACGACAATGTCCGCAAATCTTCGGTGGATCGATCCGACGCACATGGAATATTTCTGAACTCACCGCAATTGAGAGCTTGCAGGGCGCCACCCTTCTCCAGATACTTTCTGAACTCCTCTCGTTTCGATTCCATATCCATGTTCTAGGTTTTGCCGTCTACACCTGATGGAAGAAGGTGATTTTATTGAACTGTCAAGCAGAATCTGACATCAACTCCTGCACTCGTTCATGTCGGGAACGTCTGCGCCGACGAAATGTCGACTTAAGCGCGAAGCACGGCCGGCGCTCAGTTACGCTGTTCGCCTCGAATTTTTCATCGCAGTTCCCCTCCGCGTCGTCCCGATCGATAGAGGGAAAACTCCGAGCAGTGAAACCGAAATAAGAATTTCGGGGGAAATCAGACAATGATAAAAAAATATCTTCGAAACGAAGGGGGTGGGGCTGCAGTGGCGTAGCCGACGGCGAGCAGCAGCAGGTTTTCCGAGCGGGATCAGAGAACGAATGATTTCAATTTGTTAGACCCACTTACGGCAAGTCCGAGGCGAATGACGGCGGGAGTAAATTCGCGGTGTCTCGGGAGTTATTTCACGAAACAAATCCAAAATACGAGTGTCCGGCTCACTTCAGGGGAAGACCCGCACCACCAGCGGCCCAATCGGTAGCCTGTGTGAGAGTGTTGTGCGTGTGGTCGTCGGTCGGTAGGATGCTGCTGCTGCTGGCAGGCCTTGCAGTTCTACTGCTAGGGGAGCGGCGGTTGTCGAGAGGTTAGGCTTAAGTCGTGTGTGTAAACACTTCTCTTGAGAGAGGGTCGCCATCCAATCGGTGGTCACCGGTGCTCGCCCGCCAAAATTTGACTCCCGCGGATAAGTGAGGAATTCGACGTTTTGGAGTTTGCTCGTAATGGGAAGCTTGTCCCTGTTGATGTGTCAACGGCGCTTAATTTCATGTTTCCGTCATGTATGATCTTCGGCTTTCGCGTGGAGACCAATCCCCCGTTGAATAAAATTTTAAAACAGATAGAGCCCCCCCTTCCTATTCGATCGTCGGAATCCTTCCTGGAACGGGTTGAACCACCATCCTCGCTGAACGTACCGCCGGAAGTTATGGTGCGGAGCACCGCTCCAGGCCGAATTGGAGAAACAAACAGCGAGTCCTGATTCGTGGCGACCAAGAACGACCCTAGACTGATCGGAGTAGCCTGATATTCCGGGACGAATGATTGGGTCACAAATTATTTGATCTCTCTCCCCAATGATGCGAGGAGATCTTCCACCCACGGCCGCAGTCTCCGCGGTTGAGACACCCTCGGTCAGAGCTTGCAGAATTGGTGGAAAACAATCGGAGACTGTCAAGTTTACGGCATAATATTAGGCGGCTTTATTTAGATTCTACGCTGTACGACTCATTTTCAGTTTCCAATCTTGGGTCCGAGAAGGTCCGTGAAGACATTCGTCGACACCACGTATCCAACAGTAGCCACGAAGAAGGAGGTACCGATCGCTAGGACCTTGTTGCCGTACGCCGCCTGTTTCGCATACCCCTCTTGCCAGCTGCCCGAAGGCTTCGGCAGCTCATCGTAGGTTGGAACTTTATGGTTTGCGATGCGATCGCTGATAGAGCGAGTGAGTCCTGAAACGAACGAGGTAGAACACCATGAGTAAAATACATGTCACGCGAATAATGAAAGCGAATCGAATACGACGACTATCCTAAATTCCCAACGCATGACCTCCAACTGATCGCAATCCTGGAGGAAACAAAACGACTGCCGCGAAAAACTTCAAGAGCGAGTTTGTCGAACGCGAGTCGTCAAGCCGGGACCTCGAATCGTTCGCGGGTCCTAGGGAGACCTTCTGCGATAGAGACAGCCGAGAAAGGGTTCCCGAAGCAAGGTTCCGAAATTTCGACTCGCTCCCCCTTTGTGACCATTCAGAGTCCCTTCAGAGCCTGATCAGGAGCGTCGCGGCGCCCTCGGACACCGAATCTTTCAAAAAGGACACCCCAAGGTGATCCGGGTCTAAATAAAAGGACTCTTGATCCTTCCCGGAGGTTTCTACAAGCTGCGATGGGCTTCGAGGCTTCCGATACTTACGGGCAGTCGGTGGGATCACCTTTCGCAGAGCTGCGTTCATGTTTTAAGCGATTGTTTTGCTCGATGCGACCCACAAGTCAGATCGAAGATGTGCTCGCAGATTGATAGCAGAGCCAGAGGTTTCTCTTCTGCACAAGAGTAGACGTAAACAAAGGGCCCGTGATAGACAGCTCCCGCCGTCCGGGGCGGTTTATTCGAATCGAGGCGTGATATCGTCCGATAGATGATTTCCTCCTCTGCACTCCGCCCTCTGGCCCGCGGGACCAGTGTCGCCGGTCCTAGTCACGTCCGACTGGATTCAGAGCTCGATCTGAGGTCCGAAATTATTTCATCGGAGTCTCGAGCCTCAGCTTGAAGGGCCAATTTGTCCTGCCACGATTTCGGGCGTCCCGCCATTGGTTTTCATCAGATTTTTCAAGTACGAGATCCAACATCGCTCCTCCGTTCCGGGAACGAGGGGATCGCCGCCACGAGGGGCGAATCTGTGCAATTCGCGCTTTTTCCCGAATTTCTACGCACTACGGGGAATCGCGAATGAACGAATCCTTCACAGGAAGGCAAGCAGCAACCCCGAGTCGTGTGTCCTGGTTTGCGCGTGTGTGTGGTGTTATCAAGCAGCAACCCAGCTGTACACATAGGAGAGAGCCACGTCAAGACAGAAGCCGGCGTAGCTGTCGATGGTGTGCGAGCACCGGGGTTTTTGGCTTGGGAATTCTCAGTTGTTCGACCTGGAATAGATTTCATTTCCTCCATCGATCGTTCGGTTGTTCGGACGACTTCTTCGAAGATGGGTCCCCTCTTGGTCTTGGCGATCCTAACCCTCCTGGGGAATCTTTGTGATGGCCAACGTAAAGCTCTGAAGGAGGTATGTTGTGAAATTCTCGACCCCTCGTAGATGCAGATGGGTCGAGGCAGATGCTCGAATCCATGAGTCCTCATTCTGTTGGGGCCTCTATCTTTATGGAGCAGGCATAGAACGTCCGAGTTGGAATACGTTGGAGCTTATCGATCGATAAATGGTATCTCGAGTCTGACTGTCTCCCTGTGTTTCTCTCAGAGTCCGAGCCTCAGTGACAGAGTCCAGCAACTCACAGACATGAGTCTGAAACGTGCCGTGATCCGACTGAACGCAGACCGATTCAGACAGTACGTCAAGGCAGTTCCCCGGAACTACTCGATGATCATCCAGTTCACCGCCTTGTCTCCGATGAGAAGCTGCTCGATATGCCGACAGGCTCACGACGAGTTCACAGTCGTCGCAAATTCGTGGAGATACACCCCGTCCTTCACGGACAGAATATTCTTCGCCATGGTGGACTTCGACGAAGGAGAGGAGGTAAGGCATGCGGCGGAACCGGGACCGCAGAATTCTTTCGAGATCTGTCCGCTTCTATCCCCGTGCTCAAGTCTTGTGTTCAAAATCCGCTTTTCGCTTCCCGCAGGTCTTCAAACAGATGGGATTCAACTCCGCGCCCATCTTCATGCATTTCCCCGAGAAGGGAAAACCGAAGAAAGGGGACAACATGGACATTCAGCGAATGGGTTTCCAGGCCGAGGTTTTCGCGAAGTGGATCCAGGAGCGCACCGACGTCTCGATCCGCGTCTTCCGTCCGCCCAACTATTCCGGAACGATCGCGCTGTTGATCCTCTTGACGCTGACGGCTACGCTCCTCTACGTGCGCCGCAACAACCTCGAGTTCCTCTACAATCGAACGTCGTGGGGGCTGCTCGCGGTGTGCATCGTGTTTGTCATGATGTCTGGGCAGATGTGGAACCACATCCGCGGCCCTCCTTTCATGCAGAGGACCCAGAGGGGCATCAGCTACATCCACGGATCGAGTTCGGCACAGCTCGTGATGGAATCCTATATCATCATGAGTCTCTACGGCTGCGTCGTCGTAGGAATGATTTTGATGAACGAAGCTCCTCTGTTGCCCGGTGGGGAATCGAAGAAGAAGACATTCTTGGCTATCGGAGGACTTGGCATGTTCATTTGTTTCTTCAGTTTCCTGCTTTCAGTATTCAGGTCGAAAGCACATGGCTATCCGTACAGTCTTCTGTTCAGCTAAGATCTTTCGGAGCCAAATTCCAAAGCTCGGTCGGAACGACCCGAAAATTTTCCATGGGATTCGCCAAGGTCCGCAAGCTTCTAGTCCAATCGGGTCGGACATTCACGATGACAGGTGAAAGATCTTCGCGGCGAATGAAATTCTATGCGGATATCACTGGAGCCTCGCGGTTGAAGAATAAAACGGGCGGGATGGGGTTTGAATGTACAGGTGCACGATCGCACGTGAACGATTTGGATGGAGCGAGAGGATATTATTTAAAGAAGGAATAAAGAGACGATTTTTTATCGACAGGCGCATTTCCATGATTTCGGTATGAATAATGAATTTTTGTTCGCCTTAATATCATGGAGCCCGCATGAGAGGCCCTCTCCTCCTCGATGATGAAGCATCCTCTGGTCAATTCTCAGCCCCTTGAATTTATCCAGATTCAAAGCCGGATGTCATTGTTATCATCGATCCTGGGAGCCATCAGGAAGCTGCTCGGCTTCGTGAGTAGTTCAGAAGTCGCGGATGTACTCCGAGAGATTACCCGATGGAGACCCCTTGCCGAGGGAAGCGGTCGATGAGGAAAGTTGAGTCGATGAGGCAGCGTAGGCATTGTCTCTTGAATTTGCTCGGGCGTGAGGGGTGAGCTCGACGGCAATAATTGCGTCGGCTCCTCGAAGGAGTAGACGTCGCGACCGGCACTACCCCAAAACAACTGACTGAGCAATGGCATATTGGAAGGCAAACCAGCGGAAGGGGGAATGAGATGAGGGACGACCGAATCGGCATTTCACAAGGCATAGTGTACCAACCGTATGAATTCGGTTCTGAAATCGGCGGAAATTCTAATCAGACAGCTATATTTTCGGACATCGAATCACAAAGCGATTATGGAGCCTTATTCTCAGCTCCGACCCGGGGCAGGCGTCCTCGCCTTTATGTTCACTATGAAACCTGGCAACGGTGACCTTTGAACGTTGAACAGAGTTGGTATCAGTGTTCGCACGGATACTGAGTCTCTTTAGTGTCAGGCATTGCTTCGAGAAAACAGAGCAGATAGAACATCAGAGATTTCTGGGTATATTCATCCATCGTGTTCCGCTCGGAAACAAAGCCTCTCGACGTTCGGACTGAGATCTTCAAATGCCCAGCTAGGAGGATTCGAACCTAGAATACGCGACAGACTCAAAGGGTCTCGCAGGAAATGTGCCCCTTTTTGGAAATCGCTTCGGCGACCAACTTCAGAGAGCTGTATCTCCGGAACGGTTGGTCGCAGAGCGACGATCGAAGGCGCGTTGGAAAGCTGAGTCTGAGAGGTTTCATTTGCGCCAGATCGGGGAAAGGATTAGTCGAGGCGGAGATATATGAAGATTTTTGTAAATCGAAAACTACATCGACAGAGTCGCTGATTTTTCTTCTGCGGACTGTTTCCCGCGAAATGAGACTTTGTGCGAAGTTTCAGAGTGGCTGCTCAACTGTAAGTATGTTCAAGTACCCGAAAACCCTTTTTCCATTGAGTTAGGCCGATTGTATTCTACCACCATTCGGCTTGCGGAGGTTTCCACCTAGAGAACGGTTGGTCGCACGGAGCCGAAGAAAGTCGCTGTGTAGCCGATGAACCACCGCCATGATGTCATCACATGAGCATGGGTAGACCGCGGACTCGGGCTTAGCGATTCGCCGCAGCATCGGATCCTAAGGAATTTCTGCGTAGTGGGGAATCCACTACACAGAGGAGTCATGGTATCATGGACTCCATTTATCCGAGGCTCGCAGAAACTAGCCCACTGATGAGCATTCCGGAGCCCTGCTTCGGATGCTTAACCGAAATCCATGAGTCAGTCGCCAGATATCTGGAAGGATCTCACCGGGGTACTCTGACGCCTCTTCATACCGTCCTCCAGATGGAGGCTCCGCAAGCCGATTGGTGGTAGAATCCAATTGGGCTTATTCAATGAAGAAAGGGTTTTCGGGTACTTGAACATACTTACAGTTGAGCAGCCACTCTGAAACTTCCCACAAAGTCTTATTTCACGGAAAACAGTCCGCAGAAGAAAAATCATATATGAGAATAAAAATCAAGTATGTCTCCGTCCCGAGTGATCTTTTTCCGATCGGACTGGTGCAAATGGAAGCTCTCAGACTCAGCTTTTCAACGCGCCTTCGATCGTCGCTCTGCGACCAACCCTTCCGGAGATACAGCTCTCTGAAGTTGGTCGCCGAAGCGATTTCCAAAAAGGGGCACATTTCCTGCGAGACCCTTTATAGTCACCTCACTTTGACATGCACGGCCCTGCTCCGAGCATTCCTGGGTCGAGGCCGCCAATGGTGACTGTCTCTTATCCTTCTAATCTGCTTTTCTCTAGAAATCCCGAATGGCTCGTTACTCGCCGCTAAATCGTCCCAGTTCCTCTTCAGAGCAAGCGCTTCTGGCGAATCGCGACTTGTGGAGGACTCGGAATCCCTACCTGTCCGGAGGTTTTCCCTTGCCAGATCGAGTATGATCCTGCTGTTGAGCTCGGTCAAAACTTGGGTTCTCTCTTATGGTCAACTACGCGGTTTTCGAAGTGCTCACTTCAACAATTATGCGACCAGGTAACGACTGTGTTAATTCGTCGGAGAGAAAATCTTCGGAATAACGAATACTGGCCCTATAGGACTGCTGTCCGCTCAGCTATAGGGGAATCGATTCTGAGTCTTTTCGGAATAAGGAATCTGGGCATCCAGGACCGCTGTCCGCTCAGCCAACGGCGGATTCTTTCCGGAATAAGGAATCCGGGCGGATGGAGGCCCAGTAATTTTCGGACTCGATCCTTCTCATGAGCCTCCATGCTCTGCGGATGGAAGTTCGTTAATTTCCGGTTTTCGCATCCCGGAGGTTCCCGGTGTTGATTATTGTAAGGAAAGGCTCACTGCTGTCGACAGGAGTTCGATGATTCTCGGGTCTGACATCCTGGCGATTCCCGGAGTTTATTTCCCTAGAAGATTGTTCAACGCTGTCGAAGAGAGTCCAATAATTCTAGGGTCACTCATCCCGTGGGTTCCCGGAGTTCATTTCCGAGGAGAGAGCTCAATGCTGCAGAAAGGGGCTCAATAGTTTCCGGGTCACCCATCCAGAGGATTCCCGGAGTTGATTCTGGTTAGGGCTCCATCCTGGGAATAGAACTCCGATGATCTTCGGGTCTCTCATCCCGAAGGTTTCCGGATTTGATTCTGGTGAGGTAGGGCTCAATGCTGTCGACAGGAGTCCGATATTCTCGGATTTCTCGTCCCGAAAATTCCCGGAGTTGATTTCTTCAGCTTCCTCCTACCTGAGCGCTCCCGACGTCGACATCTCGTCGATTGTGGTGCATCGCCCCTCCCTCTTGGAGTACGTGGTTTACGTTGACGTCTCGGAGGAGGCGGTCGTGCGCGCGATCGCGACCGAATGCACCTGGAGCTGCCGTCCTGGAGGAATTCCTGCTGGATTCTACAAGAGATTGGTCGGTGGAGTGGCCAAGCCTCTGACTGAGTTTGATTTGCAGGAAATCCCTGGACGACGGCGTCGTCGCCTCCTTCTTCGAGACAGCTTGGATAGCTCTAGTACACAGAAAGGGGTTGCGGAGTGATCCTGAGAACGAACGACCCGTCTCTCGGACGTCAGTCAGCTGCAGGGTCTTGAAGAAGATCATATGCGATGGAATCTTGGAAAACGCCGAGGGACAGGGACTCATATCCTCACAGCCATGCGCCTACAGGAAGAAGAGGTCCAAGGATGATCTCTGATTTCCTGCGGGGGATACGAGAGGATGATACGAGTTTCATTGTCGAAGCGCGCCTCTGCCACGACGGGATGCCCGCGGGGCGACGTTCTCAGGTCTCTCATCCCGGGGATTTCCGGAGTTGATTCTCGTTACAAAGGGCTCAATGCTGGGGATAGAAGCCCGATAAATCAGCGGTCTCCCATCCTGAGAATTCTCGGAGTTGATTTCCGAAGGGGCTCCATGCTGTGATCAGGGATTCCAGCGGATCCGACGCGCGAGGTTTGCACGGTTGTCGGACCGGCCGCCCGGACTCATCAGATACATGCATACGTTTTTTTTGCATGTATAAATACATCGATGCATTAGAAAAAATAAGCAGATGTTGCCTGCAGGCGGCAACTGTCGGAATCCGCGAATCTCGGCGAATTTCACGGATCTTCGGAATCCCTAGAGATTAGAACTCCGACAATTTCCGGGTCTCTCATCGCGAAGATTTCCGGAGTGGAATCTCGTCACCACACGGCTTGGCGTAGGCTCTGTGTTGGTAAGGGCAGTCCGATAATTCTCGGGTTCCGTATCCCGAGACTTATCGGACTCCATTCTCCCGAGAGAGCTCTGGCTGGTCTCCTGTTGATAGAATTCCGATGATTTTCTTGATTTTCAACCCGATGATTCTCGATGATCCTTGTAGGGACTCAGATCTCTGAGGATGAGACTGCGATAGTTCGTGGAAACCCAATCTCTAGGATATTCGGACTCTATTGTCGAAAGGCATGGATGTTCTGCGGATCGTGCTTCGACATCTTCGGATTCTCGAAAAGCCCGCCATCAGCGCCATACTCGCCAATATGGCCGCAACAACAACTCGCATTGGGCTAGGGAGATGTTTCCCTAGACATTGAAGTACACAAACCCCCACACATAAATGCAGTCGTAGTGACGAGTTGTCCGGTTCCGTGTTCTGGAGAATACGCATTCTGCGCTCGGATGGGCACGAGCCGAACGATCATGTGAACTCGGCCAATCTCGAGAAGGCATCCTGAATGTTAAAATGAGGACACAGAACCTCCTACGAAGCTCGAATACTGGTGAAGTGCTGTTTGTTGGATTCGAAGCCAAAAATGATGAAAATCAGGTTTCTGGACAATATAGGTACATTCCAACTGCGACTACTTCTCCCGGCTACGTGTTCAGGCTGAAGCCAGTGTGAAAAGAGCCCGAACCAGAACCGAAGGCGGACTCCCAGAGCGATCAGTGCAAGCAAGGAAAAAAAATCCTATTCGGTGGTTCGAGCGTCCAGACTGCTGTCGTCCGCCGCCGCTGCCGCTTCGCTCCCCTGTACGTCAGCGAGGCTAGAAATTAGCTGTGTGCAGCGGGAAGCGGTCTTGCGGATTGTTCGGTGAGGTAAATTCGACGACGCGAGAAGGCTGTGCGAGACCCCCGTACAGTTGCCCAAGCGAACAGCAGCAGGTTCCCGCTGTCCGAGGAGGAGCCCCAGCGAGTCAGCCCCAGTCAGTACGTCAGTGAGACCGTGCCTGGCTGCCGGAGTGACTGCTCTTCTGTCCATCGGTCGTTCCGTGGATCTGTCACTCGCTCGTCCACTCGCAAGCAGCAGCAGCAGCAGTCATCCATACCGTTGTTCTGCATCCGCCAGTGCGTTTGTGTGCTTGTCTCTGGTGCGGGCAGTTCGTGTTGGTGTTTTGATTCGCTCGTTCTTTCGTTCAGGTGGTGCCTGGTGTTCACGGTCAGCGTCTTCCCTCTGGGTATCTCCGGCAGTGCCGAGTAGGGAATTCAACGAGTTCAATGTCGTCGAGCCCGAAACAAAATGACCCATGTGTTTGGATGGGTGTGGGACGGCGCACACTGGATCACCTGGCTTAATTCGTTTAGCCCACAGACGCGACCGCTCACCGACTGCGTTCTTCACTTTCACATCGTGAGTGCGAAAGTCGACTTTACGCAATTGCACCACCGGGTTCATATCCTCGGGGGGAAAATTTCGCTCGAGGAAAACCTCACCGAGCACGTCACATACGTGATCACCGATAAAGACCCCACGCGCGAGGAGCGTGAGCCGTTTTCGCGGGGTCAGCTGTTGCTCCGGAAAGCTGCCGCCAAATCATTGGGAGTGACCGAGCAAGCGAAGGAACTACGAGTTAAGCTTTGGAACGTGACTTCTTTCCTCCGTTGGCTGGAGTGTCAAGTCGACTTCGTTGGCTCGACCAACCTCAGTGGAGCCGCCGCCTTCCAATATCCGGAACACAAGCGGAACTCCAGCAAATTCATATCGCAGCTGAATATCAAGGTCGAGGACGGAAGACAGAGATTCAAGCCGCAACAGAAGCCCCTCAAAGAACCTTATTTGCATTTAGACCCCGAGTATCCGGCCAGTCCGTTCGACGAGCCAAGCTACCAGCAAAAATTCGTCAAGCGGGAGCGGCTCCGGAAACTTGAAGAAATCAACAACAATAACATTGACAAGTCGTTCAAGGACGCGAAAAAGAAAGAGGAAAACGGTGTTGGAAACAACATTAATATTAACAATAACAACAACAACAATAGTAAGAAGTCCGTTCGTGCCAATCAACCTAAGCAGCAGTTCTGCGAATGTTGCAACGCCTACTTCTTGCATTTAGACGAGCATCTTCAGTCTGAACAGCATCGAAAATTTTTCGGAGCGAACGAGGATCACTTCCGGTGCGTTAAGGATCTCATTGACAAACTTCATCCCCAGTGGATGGGCACATTGCCGGTCTCGCAGGATATCGCTGGCAACGTTCCTTCTACGACGCTAACACAAGGTAATAGTTTTTAGAATCGATATTCTTCAGATTAGTTTCTGGGCGGGAAATTATAAATGACGGATGGGACGGTCGACGGCCCGCAGCCTCACCGCGCATTCTGAAATAGTCTATGATCTGAGCTAAAGAGATCAAGCCTCGATCACTCGAATCGGATCCACGCTCTAATTTTTTTCCCGACATGGAGTTCGGACCTCCTGTGGGGATTAAGAAGATGCATCTACCACTCCCCGTCGAAAACTTTGAGGCCGTCGGGATTCGGAGAATTCGATCCGGGCTAGAGTTGATCAGCTGTGATTCGCTGACTTCGCCCAATTATGCATAAGAATGTTCCATCGAGCTCCTTCCCGTTGAATGTTTCCGTTCCCTCCGCGACGGCTGCGTGCGGAGAGCGAGAACATGGGAAAGAAAACATTGTGGATCGCCGTTACGCGACGGTAATCTTAGAGGACGTATTGGTGGTTGGCCGTGTGAGTTAGAGTGTAACCCGGAGTGCCCAGCTGCGATTGGCGGATTCCCAGCGCATGTGGTCGCTCCGCAGTCCTGGACTGGCAATGACCAAACTTGGTCTTGGCCAGGTATGATGGAGGATATTGTATGGATCAAATCTCCGCTCCTTTCCCATCGCGCCGCGAGATGCTCTGCTCGGCACCGCGGAGCTCGATTCTGTCGAAACGAGTGGACCAAGCGGGATTGTTGTGCCTCATGAAGTTGGACTCGACGAATTCAAGTCATGTTTCGACCTCGGACGGAGTCACGACGTTCGAGATCGTAACTCCCGGCTCCGTGAAAATTTGATCGCCAGAAACAGTGTCGAGAGTAAACATATCGAAATGTGCGACCTTGACCCTCACGCGATATTCCGTGGCCGTACGCTAACAGATTTGTATTTCATTTGATTTCTCAGGTAAATCCCTTGAGTATCCGGCGTTCACGCTACCGCTGGAATCGTCTCCAGCGCTCCCTGATTATCCACAATTCCCGACGACTGGAAATCAGTTCAATCGGAAACCCGTTGGTCGATCTGTGATGCACCCCGCAAGCGCCGCGTACGCCCTAAATATGCGACAACATATGCTCAATCAAGCTTACAGAAACGCCACTGCCTCGGCGCAGCAGCAAACCGGTATCGGTCCCCCTCACGGGCTCTTGGGGAGACAGGCCGGTACGAACTCTGGACATTACGATCACCCCCCGCATCATGGAGTATCAGGTAATGGAATCCTTACATTCCGGGGACCCCATTGGATAGAGCCAGAATGCGACTTTCGTCGTCGCTCTCTCGTGTTTCCGTTCGTTCGTCAGCCTATTCGCTGTATGTAACTGTTACATCAGTCGCTGAAGTGCTCACGTAACTTCCTCCCCCCCTTCCCCCGTGGACAGACCGACACGTCATTAGACTTGGAATAGAGCGCCAGAATTTCTCGCCTGTCTCCTTGCTTATATCGTAGAAACGGCTCTTCGATTCGACGGAAGACGTCGATGACGTCGAAACGTACAGTTCCTCGCTCTTTCGTCAGGTCAACAGGAATGATGATTACATTTTCGTCTCGTTCTAGGTGTCAACTTGAAAGGCGCCGAAGTTCATGAGGGGATCGCGGTCGGTGGTCATCGAACAGGAGCTCCCGGAGGTCCGGGGGGAGTGGCCCCGTCCCACAATATGGCTTCCTCGTCGACGCCGTTCCAGATACCCGACCTATTGTCGACGTCAGAAACTCTGCTAGCCGCAGCTACCTCCGGAGTCCCGTTGGACTTCTCGCGGACGTCATCGCAAACGTTTGCGGCTGCGATGATGCGCGATTTCGGTCATCTACCTCCCCCGCCGATTTCTCATCCTCATCCCATGCTCTCCCATCAAGCGTATAACCTTTCGCAGGCTGCCGCGTCTTCGCACGAGAAGATGCTCGATGACTGGCTACCCAAGCTACAAGACCAGTTGAGCCATAGTCAACAACAACAGAACTCCACTCATCAAGCCCTAGATATGTGGGGTGCCGCCCTTGGTCAGGACCAGAGCAGTCAGGCTGCCCAAGCCCAAGCCGCTCAGGCCGCACAAGCAACCGCAGATCTCTTCGCTGCTCTAGCCGGCTCGGCCGATCAAGCCGACCTCGCCTCGTTGGGTCTCCAGAACCTTCTGCAGACAATGGTTTCGGTCGAGGAAGAGAACAGGAAACGAGCCCAACAAATTTACAACCAGCAGCATCAGAATCATCTCCTTCAGTCTCAGTCGCAAGGCCAGCACAAGAAACAGTCTGACAAGGCGCAGCATCCACTGTCAACGTCATTGGCCCAGCCTTCCGCCCCAGCCCAGAATCATCACACCCAATCCCAATTGATCCCCTCCAATCAACAGATGCCATCGACAATAGCCCAAACTCGACAGGACGCACAGGAAACCTCGCTCTCTCCCGAGGAGGTCGTCGAGGATAAATTCACGCCTCGCGTTGAGCCCCAGCTCCAACCCTCCCCGAATCAAGCGACCCCGAGCCCTCAGGGAGCGAACAATCGTGTCGCCCGAACGCCCACGTACGACAGTCCCCTCCAAGCTCGCTCGCAATACAACAGTCCCTTGCCAAAAGACGAAATGGACTTCCAACAGCAACAGCCGCCGCCGCAGCAGCAGCAGAAGAAAACCCCTACCCAGCACCGATTAGAAGCACCGGCTTTCAATAATCAAAAACCTTTGGATCCCATGAAACAATTTAACTCTCCGCAGCAGCAGCAGCCACCACCCCCGCCCCCACCGCCCCAGCAGACCCTGCCCGATCTGCAGAAGTACATCGGAGCACCTCCCCAACCGGAGTACGTCCACGAAACTCCCCCTCAGCAGAATTTTCCGGGCGAGATCTCAGGTCGCCAGGCGGCCATGAACAAATACCCAGAGGTTGTGTCTCCGTTCGACGGCCAGCAGGGTCAGAAGACGCCGTTTTACGAGAATCCGCACTCGGTTCCCACTCCGTTACAAAACCCTCCTTCAGTGCCAATGAATAATCCGCCCTCGGTGCCCATGAATGAGGGTCATACCCCGCAACACACCCCTCATCATCCCGCTCATTCGAACACGCCGCAACATATGCAAAGTCCTGCGAATCTTCACGGCCGTGCGATGCAGCAGCCTGGGCCCCCACCCCCGCAGCAGCAGCAGCCGCCGCAACAACAGCACTGCATGGAGAAGTACGATTTCCAGGAGGAACTCAACGAGAAATTGCCTCCGTGGCAATCTGGCGATTTGGTGGCCGCAGCCACCGCTGTAGAAAAACACTCGTGGGGGCAGAATACTCCGCAGTTTGAAGCTATATCCAGCGACAATGGCAAACAGGAAGCCCCTCTGGCGCAGTGTGGTGCTCCACAAGAAAAAGAGATCTCCGCTGCAGCTGCAGCAGCAGCTCCCTACGAGAAAGAGCTTCCGTCCAAATATCTCAAGGGCCGCGGGTATCAGCAACCTCCGATCGGTTCGAATCAAGAGTCCAACGACCAACTCAGTTCACAGGACTCGAACTCGATGCAAAACTCCATAGCATCGAACACACCTCAACATTCAGGAGCGGGTCTTCCAACAAGGTTCGTGCGATGCGAATTTATTCAATGGTGATGGAATTTGTCAGAGAACTCTTGAGAACTGACCGAGGAGGAGGGGAGGGATCAGGCTGGAGGAGCGAATGCGGGAACTGCTTTCTTGTTCCCCATGAGGAACAAGATCGAGCTCCCATCCAAATGACTGATCATCTTTCTCTTCCAGCTTTCGGTATCAGAACGAAACGAGTAAGGATTCCTTGGACCTCGATAAGAGAACCTTTCCAAGCCAGGCCGCGGGGTCCGCCGCGAACGAAAGCTCGACCCACAATCGGTGGACGGCTCAGCGGAAAAGCGCTCGTGGCCGCTACGGTGGTATAAAGTTGAAGTTCACGCCTGCTGGTCGGAAGAGCATCGCAGCCGGCTACAATACATCCGGGAATAACCACTCGATGTTCAGCCCGAGTCAGAGCACCGGTAAGTTTCCCCAATCCGAGCTGAAGATCATCCTCACTCGCTCGCTCGCTCATCTGAAGTGTCTAGGTCTCTTCGTATCTGACTGTGATGAGATCGAGAGTATTTATCATTCCAGCCAAAGGCGACCCGTACGATTGGAACGAGGACGAAGAAGTGTCCCTTTCTCCGATGAAGCGGAAAGCCGCTGCGCAGAGCTCGCATCTGTCATTCTCGCAGTTTACACAGAAGCAACAGAATGCAATGCCCTCAGACATGGGTGTGATCGGCGGATATGGATCTCTGCAGCAAGCAAGTGGCCAAATCTACTCGCAGCAGTCTTACCAACATCAACAGCAGCAGCATCTCGCACTCCATCAACAGAACCCCCAGATGCCGCCAGCGTATCCACAGCCGGGCCATTCCCAAAACATGGCCGGCTCTTCGAATCCGGCCGGAGCTCTCGGTGCGGCGACGGATGCGGATGCGGCTGCGCAAAACAAGTGGAAGATGAAGATGGTATCGGAGACGAAAATCGTTCTCAAGAAATTCAATCCACCGAGCGGGGGCAAACCCTCGTCGTATAAGCATCATCGGAAGCGTCATCTCTAGAACATTTCGTAGAAAAGTAATTTTTGAAATTGGTACCATCTCTTTCTGCGGAAGCAGTGAATGGCCAGAGGCAGGCGAGCAGCCTTTAACCAACCCACCCTGTTTCGTGAGTGATCTATAGGAACGTTAATTTTTCAAATGCTCGGGATAACCTGTAGAGAGAGAGAGGAAGCGAGCGACTTAACTTCGATTACGAGAATATATTACGGAGTACTAAGCATCTTGCCGGAATCGGCATGAGCTCTGCATGTCCTCACTGACGCCGGTCGAGTTCAGGGCATTATGTTCGATAGTAGCCAACGCCATTGACGCGGTCGACTGACTCACTTGTTCCTTTCACTGAAGCTTCGGCGTACGATCGTCGGAAAGAAAGACCCGATCCTGACCCAGGAAAGGCGCTCGACGAATTGCTCAATGACTTCCGCTAGTTCCTTGTGGACGGAACTTCGGTTGAGAAGAAAGAGACGAGCTCATTTCGACGACACGACGACTACCATTTTTTGTACAGGTCCGAATTTTATTTATAATTTCAAACCTCTGTACCATCCGCCAACCTGCTTACTATCAGTCTGTCTGTCTGTCTATCCATCCATCTGTCAATCAATCAAACAATCGATCTACTGACGCGTCTCAGGTGACGTGTGTCTATCGGATAAGATACTAGATACTACTCCTGGTATGACTTGTCGTGCCGGTTCTTGGAGTCCACAATTTGACGAGAACGAGGGACGTGAATCGAAATCTTTCTCTGCTATGATGTAGTAGGTTTCGACAATTTCATCCCGTCATCTCATGCTCTCGATGATTGTAAACTTTCCGTCGAGGAATCCGTTTGTAAAATGATCCCGCTCTCACCGACTCAAGATTCTCAACTGTGGAAAGCGATGACGACTTAATTATGTTCTACTTCTGGTTTAGGAGTTGTTTTATTACAACATGCGATGTATTGTTTTTGTAGATGTTTTCCTTTTTTGATCGATCCTCCACGTCCGACCGAACGGTGTCCGTTGCCCTCGAGAGGAATAATGATGATTATCGCTATCATCGTCAGAAACTCATGGAAAGATAACTTCAGTGTAAATACGACGAACATGGGTAGAGCTCTATGTGAACGTACGATTCTTCTTCGTTGTTCTCTCCTACGAATTGTATCATATGTAACTCATCCCCAATGGTAGTAGCCGATCAGTGTTAGTGCATAGTAGACGGATCGCGATTATGACGATATCCTTGTTCTCTTGACGACGGATGTGGAACGTCCACAGGACTGAGCTTGCGATCGACACACATTATACTACCTATTGTCGAGCATCAAACGCATTCGGGAGGATCGCCGCCGTCTATGATAGCCGAAGAGAGGCGACAGACGGCCTCCCAATCCGTGGTCGGTGTATACTGTATGTACAAAATGACATACCAACATACTGTACATAATCGGTGCAATAAACAAATAAGCGAATTGACGACGGTGGCATGAAAGACTGATGACGACACAGCTACAAGTCTCGAAACGTTCTCATAACATTCTCGGAAAAGATTCGGAAGGGAAGCCTCACCGTAAACCTGACGGAGCAGAAAACTGCGAATAAAATAACAAAAATAGAAAATGTTATTGCCAAATATCAAGTGGCTTACAGACAACTTCACGAGTCTTCCTTTTCGACAGTCAAGTTTAGGGGCGTCTCGGTAATATCCACAGCGAGAGCGATAGCAGCTCCGAGAAGGAGCTTTGTGAATTCCCACAAAGATATCAGTGGTCGCGCCAACCGAGAGCTGCATCGTTGACAACCTCGGGAGGGCCGCGGTCACCAGTTGCATGGGCCGCACGGAAAGGCGTGCTCTATGTGGAGAAGAGAGTCGCTAGGTTCTGAGAGGAAGGGTAACGGAGCACTCGCCCTCCGCGAAGATCTCTTTCCCTTTGCCACCCGCAACTTAGGTTCGCCCTTAGTACTCAGTTCTTCAGCTCTCGAATAGCTTACGGTGTGTTGTTGGTGGAGCTTTATTCTGGGGATACAACGCGCGGCTAACTGCTTAGTGCGCAGGTTCAGTGCTCTGTGAAAGGATACAAAATTCGAGTTTCGTGCTTTCCTCCCGTTACCCTCCTCGTCGGCGTGATCCTTGTCGAGTGCTCTCGGAACACCGAAAGTTTGCAGTCGTCGAGCAACTCTGAAGTAGTGGAAAACGTTTGTGTTGCTTCAAAGTTTGGCGCGTCAGAGGCTGAGGGCTGCACGCCCCCTCGTCACTAGCTCCTTTTAGTTTTGGCTTCCAGAGCTCGAGAGAGGGAGAGTAGTGACGTCTCGAGCGAAGTTACGCAAAATCTCGAGGAATTTACTTTGATCGTGCGATACCTGCGCGCGAGTTCTGTGGCGTGTGGATGCGCAATGTGCCAGTGATCCCTTAGGACAAGTCGGGACAGCTTTGGAAAACCGGAGGTGGGTAAAACCGGACCGGATTCTCGAGGTTCGGCTATGCTTGGCGGCAACAGCGGCCGGGCACCTGTCAGAATCTATGGAACAGTCGCGCGCGGATAAAGTCCCGATGACTTTTCATGCGGTGCGACGCTTTCCGACCACAGATTCCCATTCCTCGGGGTTGTCATCGTACGGGGCTCAGGCATAGCTTGGGTCCGCCTTGCATGCTGTTTGACGCTTCGCTATCCGCGCGGTTTTTGCCACGGGAGATCGTTCGATGGAAACTCACCGTGAGCTACACGACATGTATGTAGATTCCCTCCGAAGCGACGCTCGTGAAATGTCACGACCTTGGCTTGATGCGCTGACGCTCCAGCTCAAGGATATGACAATCGCTCCCTCCGTCTCGATCCGAGAGTTCTGATCTGTAATTCTAATTCGTGTCTGGCGCACGGATCCCTATGGTGAAAATAGCGAATATGGCCCAAATGACATCTCCGATGCTTGTCAGCCATAGTCGCCTCATCGACGATGTCACGATCTGGATTTAGAGGTTCGAGCTCAACGGCCAATAACTCAATCAACGGCTGTCGAGGCTTCCAGAGTATCCTCGTCGAGCAGATGCTGAAGAACTCGTCCGAGGTCTCGGCTGGGGCTACATCCAAAGCTGTCGAAAACGGCCTTGGATCTTTATTGGTGTCCTTCTCTGAATCGAATCGAGAGTCTTGATCGCACGACTTTCTTTTCAGCATTAGAGCTCGGAAATGTTCCGGAGACGGTGCCGGCGCCGCGTCGCAACGTCAGAAACCCGCTATGAAATTTGCTGAGACTCTCCCGGCCTAGAAAATTCCGGGCGTCCCAAAGAGGGACAGTGGACGGAGTTCACAGCGTGGCTCGAGCCCGATTCGGTGAATCTTCCCAAAACTCTCCATGAGGGGATCGTGATTTTTCCTCCTACGAAATCCGAAAAGATCGATTGCATCGATGGGAGTTTTCCGGAGAGGCTCCACAGAGTATACCGTGTCAGTCCACCTGGTCGAGGCACCCCTAGGAGTACTCCAATGGCAAAATAAAGTTCCCTCAAGAGGCCTCAATGCCCTAACCGAGCATCTGGTTTCTCCCTCAGGCCGAAAAATCTCGGAGTGGCATCGAGCCATATAATTTTTAGCTTCACTCGCAGCGATACTGTATCGACGTGCGGAGACGGTGGTTGCGAATTGATAAGCTGTCTCGTGCAGCGCGAAAATCCATTTTCTCCGCTTGAGACTCATGGTTATGGGAAGCGTCCAAACGGTTCGGTCGTTTAAGCTTAAAACCCTACGATATGGGCAACTCCCCGTGAGTCTTCAGCCCTGCTGAATACAATAATGCATCTCCGATGCCCGTAAGGCGCTTTTCGCAGCATATTTTCACAGCCCGTGGATCCGCCGCGAGCGGAGGAAAAACAAGAACAACCTGTTGCCGGCTTGTATCGATTAGGTCGAGACATCAGATCAGATACCGTCAGGCTATTGAGTGCATGGCGCGTTCGACGCCTCATGTGAAGACGCGCGAGTCGTTCAGGAGCATCGTGCGATGGCGCTCCTGGAAGGAGAGAAGGTCCGCTTTCTGACGCAGCGCTGGTGGACTTGACTGGTCCTCAGTTTTGAAATCTCTCTACCGGGTTTTCCACGCTCTGGAGATCCGTGCTTGATAACTCATCGTTGATGGCTGGGACAACAAACTTGGCTCCAAATCGAAGGAAATAATTCCGATCCGGAAAATATCGTTGGAGGGAACGAAATCCGAAACCGTCTCGATTGAATATCGCCTGCGGTCGAGCAGATCCAGAGCCCAAGACAAGCGTATGCCTGCCGCATTCGGGAGTGAGTGAAAGATCTAGGTTTACACCGGAACAGCATGACCTGGCTCGTGTCTCTGATATCGACAGTACCGTTGCTCATCTGGAAGTGACGGCGGATGTTAAATTTCCCTGCGGGAGAGGCTTCCGTCAATTTCTTCTTGAAACATATTCGTCCTTGATTGAGTCATATCTCACATATCTGCCGCATGCTCGTAACAGCTGCGCTCTATTGTAAAAGTGGTCATCAATCGGAATCGAGGATGAGTGGGTCAGCGGTGGAGAACCTAAATTTTTTGAGAATATGGATCTTCGAACGCCGTCGAACGGGAAGCTCCAGCTCGGACCAGATCAAACGCAACCACTTCAACTTATCCGGAGGGGAGAATCGCCTGGCCGGAATGAATTCTGTATCCCAAAGCGGAGATGATGTCCCTGAGCTGTCAATGAGAGAGGAGTTCCACTCACTCATTCAGTCGCTCGCCTTGAGGCTGCAATCTTGGACTATTCAGGCATATCCTAGCCAGAAATGAATATGAAGAAGTCTCTCTCGGCATCTCCGCGAGCGACGCGCGCCTCCTTGAAAAATTCATTAAAGATCCCCTACTTCATCCGAGCGACGCTCGTCGGCTCACATTTCTCAGGGAAACAAATTTCCATGAGAATCCGCACGAGCGACCTTCTGAGAGCATGATGAAGCTGCTCGCGGGATGAACTCGAGCATGGAGAAGGATTCGCGACTTAGGCTC